TATTAGTCCTGGCATCCTTTTTGAAACGCCCATGTCTGATATTCCATGGGCGCGGCGGACAGGCGGAGGGCCGGCGACAAGTGATGAGTGAATGCAAAGAATTTGAATATTGTGCCGCGGCGGCAGTTGACATAAATCGTCAATGACAGCAACACCGCCTCCTTCGGGCCTCAAACACGCAACCGGGCCAGAAGGGATTGGGCCCGGGCCCAGGGTCCTCGCTGGGAAAGGAGCGGAGTGGAGTCCGCAATCCGGGCTATTGTATTCGATTTGCGCGGGATGATTGCTCGCGGGTCGGCTCGGACCTGTCAGCGGGCTTTCAAAACCAATTCTAATCGATTTGGGGCACTCTGACAGCGCTTATTGGCAGGGAGCGCGTGGCCGCGATACCGAAAACACCTTACCGAATTTCCAGCCAGAAAAGTGTCAACAGCATTTTGGCTTAAGCGAGTGAATAAAACGCAAAGGAAAGGAATGCCAGCCGAAGTCACTATGCCCTTCCCCAAAGGCTTCCTAAATATCCGACCAGGAAGCATTCCGATCGGACCTGTTTTGCCGATTTCTGATCTGGAATACATCCTTATTATAGAAACTAAAATACCCTTAGAAAGGGTACCAGAATAAGCTAAAAACTTAAACGGAGGCCGCGCCAGATACGCGGAACAGAAACAAGAACAATAACAAGCCGCAGCAGCACTATCGTTATCTCAATGGAAGCTGATTGGAAACAGATAATTAAAATCTTCTAATTAGGCGGCATGTTCACGCACACACGGGTGTGTGTGCTGTGTGTGTGAGTGTGTGTCACCTTAACCACTGTCGGCTGTCAGGAGGAACAAGTTCATAAATCTTGCGTCCAACAAATCGTTTTGCAACATGGGAGAACATTACACAAGAGCCACGGAGCACCAAAATGCGTGGAAAAAAGGCTCATATGGTTGCAGATAACAAATCCGTTCGGTGGCCAATAAATATATGTATATATAAATGCACTCATATTGCCATATAGTGTTGGTGGGAATAATCCTTCGTTTAATGTCTCAAGGAGATAAAACAAATTGATTTTCAATTATATATTATACCCTTGGAAAGCTTATTATTATTTTGCTCGAAAGTGTGGAATGCTGTGAGGGAGACATCTCCGACCCTATAAAGTGTATCATCTCTTGATCAGGACTGCGTCGTTGGTCGATATAAGCATATAAAAACCTTCTGTCCGTTTCTACGCAAGATAGTATCTCAGTTTTAAAGCTATCGACTTTAATCTTTTAACAGCTGGGATCGGCCGACTATATTGGTATATATGGCTGCCATATGGTATAACCAATTTATCGTAAATCCCAGATGGATGTGACCTTCTATGTCACCTATTTTAAAGAAATTGATCTATCCTACCATTATTTAATGTATGTAGCTACCTAAAAAGATACCGACTATATCTTATAGCTACGATTGGTCGAAAATGACTCAACTTTGGTATTTGTGAAGATGGAAGCTTTGAACATTTTTTCAAAATGTATATATTTAAAATTTCGTTAAATATATCCGATATATAATATCATATACAGTAGTGGCCACAAGTTTAGCACACCATGCTTCGCCAAGCTTTAATGAAAGATAATTTCGATTCTGTAAGGACTTGATCCTTGATTCTTTTACGTACGGCTAGGTTGTCAGGACCGCAGGACCTTAAGTGCAGCAACACCACCAAAACGCTGGACACAAGATATGTCAACATTATTTGCGATGTATATCAGATTTTATCTGCAAGGCTATATCAACTACGGCACTGCCGGAAGTAATTTTTTCTTTATTTGTACTTATCATCTTCGGCATTAGTTTTCTTCATTTTACTAACTTTCAGTTTAAGCTAGGTTTAATTAAAGAAACTAAAATTAAAACAAATATTTAAACCATATAATTTTAAAAGAAAAAACTTTTCTAAAATAAAAGAAATATATTCTACTTCATCCATTGGGGCGACACCTTGCGGCGAAAGTTGGAGACTGCAGCTAAGCATCTCAAAACTGCCACTAGAGGGCGGTTGGTATGTCTCGTGCGAAGAAGTTGGGTTTTTGAACTTATTGTAACTTAAGTGAATGATAGATAAAACTTTATAATCGATCTAGAAATCGTTAAAGGTACTCGGCTTGAGAATCGGATAAGAATTGGGGAAGATATAGCCATCGCAGTGGGCCCTTTGGGGAAAAAACCCATTTTCAGGGGATCCATAAGCAAAAATGGACAAAAAATCTAAAAAATATTTTGTCTCAGGATTTTGATGCAGAATGGTGGAGAATCGATCTAGAAATCGTTTGAGGTACTCCGTTTGAGAATCGGATGAGAATTGGGGAAGATATAGCCATCGCAGTGGGCCCAATAGGGGAAAACCCCATTTTCAGGGGATCCGTAAGCAAAAATGGACAAAAAATCTACAAAATATTTTGTCCCAGGATTTTGATGCAGAATGGTGGAGATTCGATCTAGAAATCGTTTAAGGTACTCTGCTTGAGAATCGGATGAGAATTGGCGAAGATATAGCCATCGCAGTGGGCCCAATAGGTGAAAACCCCATTTTCAGGGGATCCGTAAGCAAAAATGGACAAAAAATCTAAAAAATATTTTGTCTCAGGATTTTGATGCAGAATGGTGGAGAATCGATCTAGAAATCGTTTGAGGTACTCCGTTTGAGAATCGGATGAGAATTGGGGAAGATATAGCCATCGCAGTGGGCCCAATAGGGGAAAACCCCATTTTCAGGGGATCCGTAAGCAAAAATGGACAAAAAATCTAAAAAATATTTTGTCTCAGGATTTTGATGCAGAATGGTGGAGAATCGATCTAGAAATTGTTTAAGGTACTCCGCTTGAGAATTGGATGAGAATTGGGGCAGATATAGCCATCGCAGTGGGCCCTTTGGGGAAAAAACCCATTTTCAGGGGATCCGTAAGCAAAAATGGACAAAAAATCTAAAAAATATTTTGTCCCAGGATTTTGATGCAGAATGGTGGAAAATCGATCTAGAAATCGTTTGAGGTACTCCGCTTGAGAATCGGATGAGAATTGGGAAAGATATAGCCATCGCAGTGGGCCCAATAGGGTAAAACCCCATTTTCAGGGGATCCGTAAGCAAAAATGGACAAAAAATCTAAAAAATATTTTGTCTCAGGATTTTGATGCAGAATGGTGGAGAATCGATCTAGAAATCGTTTGAGGTACTCCGCTTGAGAATCGGATGAGAATTGGGAAAGATATAGTCATCGCAGTGGGCCCAATAGGTGAAAACCCCATTTTCAGGGGATCCGTAAGCAAAAATGGACAAAAAATCTAAAAAATATTTTGTCTCAGGATTTTGATGCAGAATGGTGGAGAATCGATCTAGAAATTGTTTAAGGTACTCCGCTTGAGAATTGGATGAGAATTGGGGCATATTGGATGAGAATTGGATGAGAATTGGGGATATAGCCATCGCAGTGGGCCCTTTGGGGAAAAAACCCATTTTCAGGGGATCCGTAAGCAAAAATGGACAAAAAATCTAAAAATATTTTGTCCCAGGATTTTGATGCAGAATGGTGGAAAATCGATCTAGAAATCGTTTGAGGTACTCCGCTTGAGAATCGGATGAGAATTGGGAAAGATATAGCCATCGCAGTGGGCCCAATAGGTGAAAACCCCATTTTCAGGGGATCCGTAAGCAAAAATGGACAAAAAATCTAAAAAATATTTTGTCTCAGGATTTTGATGCAGAATGGTGGAGAATCGATCTAGAAATTGTTTAAGGTACTCCGCTTGAGAATTGGATGAGAATTGGGGCAGATATAGCCATCGCAGTGGGCCCTTTGGGGAAAAAACCCATTTTCAGGGGATCCGTAAGCAAAAATGGACAAAAAATCTAAAAAATATTTTGTCCCAGGATTTTGATGCAGAATGGTGGAAAATCGATCTAGAAATCGTTTGAGGTACTCCGCTTGAGAATCGGATGAGAATTGGGAAAGATATAGCCATCGCAGTGGGCCCAATAGGTGAAAACCCCATTTTCTGGGGATCCGTAAGCAAAAATGGACAAAAAATCTAAAAAATATGTTGTCCCAGGATTTTGATGCAGAATGGTTGAGATTCGATCTAGAAATCGTTTAAGGTACTCTGCTTGAGAATCGGATGAGAATTGGCGAAGATATAGCCATCGCAGTGGGCCCAATAGGTGAAAACCCCATTTTCAGGGGATCCGTAAGCAAAAATGGACAAAAAATCTAAAAAATATTTTGTCTCAGGATTTTGATGCAGAATGGTGGAGAATCGATCTAGAAATTGTTTAAGGTACTCCGCTTGAGAATTGGATGAGAAGTGGGGCATATTGGATGAGAATTGGATGAGAATTGGGGATATAGCCATCGCAGTGGGCCCTTTGGGGAAAAAACCCATTTTCAGGGGATCCGTAAGCAAAAATGGACAAAAAATCTAAAAAATATTTTGTCCCAGGATTTTGATGCAGAATGGTGGAAAATCGATCTAGAAATCGTTTGAGGTACTCCGCTTGAGAATCGGATGAGAATTGGGAAAGATATAGCCATCGCAGTGGGCCCAATAGGTGAAAACCCCATTTTCAGGGGATCCGTAAGCAAAAATGGACAAAAAATCTAAAAAATATTTTGTCTCAGGATTTTGATGCAGAATGGTGGAGAATCGATCTAGAAATCGTTTGAGGTACTCCGCTTGAGAATCGGATGAGAATTGGGAAAGATATAGCCATCGCAGTGGGCCCAATAGGTGAAAACCCCATTTGCAGGGGATCCGTAAGCAAAAATGGACAAAAAATCTAAAAAATATTTTGTCTCAGGATTTTGATGCAGAATGGTGGAGATTCGATCTAGAAATCGTTTAAGGTACTCCGCTTGAGAATTGGATGAGAATTGGGGAAGATATAGCTATCGCAGTGGGCCCTATAGCATTTCGTTCTTGTTATATTTAAAATTCATTTTTTATCGATTTCGAATGATGGTCTACGCATTGGCAACATTGCCAATAATCTTTATGTAAGTCTCCACTCCATTCAGGTAGGTTTCTGCGTGCAGGTATTCGTCGTGGTCGTGAAGCAGGACTGGAGTATTGTTCATCGGCGAGAATCCCAAGGCCGGAATGCCCACATTGCGAATGTAGCGACTGTCGGTGCCACCAGGAAACACCTGAAGTTTAATGGAGAGTCCCCTAAAATTGAACAGATTGGCGTATTGACCCTTTAGAAGTACTTTGAAACTCACAGATCATCCGTTGCCTTCTTGAAAGCCACCCAGAAGGGATTGGAGTCGTTAGTTGCAGTGGGGGGAACGCGTCCCGTGCTCTGAGTCGTTCCGAATTCGACTTCGATGTCTCCACCCGCCTCTTCAGACCACTTTAAAAGCTTTACAGAAATACAAGAGTATGTGGGACGATGGATCAGAGTACTTTGGGAAGACCTACCGTTGAATGAAACTCCGAGATGTCAATGTCCATCGACAAACGGCAATCAAAGCAAACTGTCAGCAATGGAGGAACCACATTGCTCTGGACTCCGCCGGTCACCGTGGTCAGATTGATGGTCGTCACATCTCCGATCTGAAGCTCCGGGTTGTCCTTCAGTCGTCTCACCTGAGTGCTTCGAAATTCCATCATCCTCTCGAGGATGTAGCTTAGCTTTTCCCCCGCCGTATTGGGCATTAGAAGCAAGCCGTGGCCTGCTGAACCGCCAATCTTAAAAATCACACCTGCCGAACGTGTTTATATGAAAATAACTGTCCAAGTCGAAGCATAGCTCAAGTATCTTACGTCTCACGGATCGCTCGGCGAAGAATACAGGAAACTCTGAGCTGGGCGAGGCGATCCCTTCATCCAGGCTGAACCCAACGTTCAGGGATCGGAATTCCGGCGAGGTCACAAAGGCGAACATGCCCAATTTTCCCCCTACTTCTTCATCTGGAGGAAAGGCGGTTAAGTAGGATAGTGGGATAAAGCTCCAACCCTAACTGGTACAAAGGAGATGTGGATAGTCCTCTTGAACCGAGCACCACTTCGCTTCAAAGCCCTAATGGCAGCCAAATACTGCATTCCCACACACTTCATATCCTGGCTACCTCTGGCAAAAATGCGGCCTTCCTCGTCAATTTCGGCGCCGAACGGAGGGTGCGACCACTTCTCCGGAAAGACTGGAACGACGTCCATGTGGGAGTTGAGCAGGACACTTGGCAGGTCCGGTTGGAGACCCTCCCAGGTGAGGACCACCACAGGATTCTTCTCATTGGCAGGATGGCATATCTTGATGGGTAAGTCCAAGCCTGAAGCTTGACTCTTCAGGAACTCGACACAGGGCTCTATGGTGGAATGGGGAACATTTATCCACAAATCTTGTTGTATTTATTCTTACACCCACCATAATCCGGGTTGGGGTGCACACTGGGGATCCGTAGGTATTCACGAAAGAACTGAATCTCCTCGTTTGACTCCCAGATGTTGGTACTCATAGTGGATCTGAACAAGGCTGAACTGAAACTGAACCAGGCATCCCACAAAGAATATCTGTACCCCTAATCCCAGACCATTTATCTCTAGACTGTGCTTATCTCAAGGCAGTTTGATGGTAAACCGCCTAAGACATCTCTTTACAACAGGTAGTCATTGAGGTCTGGGTGCTCTATCGGGGATATGATCGTAACTAAGTTTATTTATATTTTGATAGAATGCCTATGTGGCACATCATATAAGGTATATTATCTGTTATCGAGCCCAGCTCACTAGACATTGGCAATATGGCCTATTATTTTTTTGTATATGTCGACGCCCTTGAGGTAGGTGTCTGCCCGGATGAACTCGTCGTGGTCGTGGAGCAGCACTGGGGTGTGGTTCATGGGCGAGAAGCCCAGCGCCGGAATTCCCTGTTGGCGGATGTATCTGCTGTCGGTTCCTCCCGTGAATATTTGCGTCCTTATGCAGATCTCCCTGTAAAAGAGTCAAGATAAAGGTGGTAGAGTGCTCTACTGGGTGCTCTACTTACAGCTCATCGGTGGCTTTTTTGAACGCAGTCCAAAAGGGATTGCTGGAGTCAATGGCCGTGGGCGCGACCCTGGGCTGCTTCTGCTCGTAGGTCAGTTCAATGCCTCCGCCCGCCTCTTCGCACCACTGTTGGAGCTTTGAAAAGTACCAAGCTATTAGTTTCCTTATCTTTTTTTGTACTGGGAGGGCTCACCTTGGCTTCAAACTCCACGTGGTCCACGTCGAGGGCCAAACGGCAATCGAAGCAGACTACCAACAAAGGAGGCACAACGTTGCTTTGAACGCCACCACTAACGCGCGTCAAGTTAATGGTCGTGACGTCTCCAATGACCAGATCAGGGTCGTTTTCCAATCTCTGCACCTGGGACTTTCTCAACTCCATCATCTTGCTGACTATGTAGTTCAGCTTCTCCCCAGCGGTGTTGGGCAGCAAAAGAGATCCATGGCCGGCAGTGCCACTGATGTTGAAGTACACCCCTTTGGGTCAATGGGTCAGATTAACGAATACATTTTATGTGATTTAAAGACTCACGCCACACCGCTCTTTCGGCATAGAAGACTGGGAACTCCTCGTTGGGGGAGGCCAAGCCCTCATCCAATCCAAACCCGACGTTCAGGTCCCGGAAGTCGTTTGTGTTCACAAATGGGCGCATTCCCAGTCGGCCTCCCAATTCCTCATCTAGTATATATAGTATATAGTATATAGAGACTATAGAGAATAGCAATCAGGTTATAGTCCCACCTGCTACAAAGGAGATGTGGATAGTTCGCTTGAACCGAGCGCCCTCGTTCTTCAGAGCCCTGATGGCTGCCAGGTACTGCATCCCCACACTTTTCATATCCTGAGCTCCTCTGGCGAAAATGCGTCCTTCCTCGTCCATCTCTGCTGCGAAGGGCGGATGCTTCCAGTTCTCCGGGAAGACGGGGACCACGTCCATGTGGGAGTTCAGCAGGATACTTGGCAACTCCGGTTCGAGGCCTTCCCAGGTCAAGACGACTACGGGGTTCTCCTCGTTTGCTGGATAGTAAACCTTGAGGGGCAGTTCTAGCGTCGCTGCCTGACGCTCAAGGAACTCGAGGCATGGTTCTGAGGGAATTATTAATTGAAATTAATTTTATTGACAGAGTCAGTAGCAGAAGCTTTGAAAAGTTCAAATGGGGGAAAATTTTCCATGGAATTTTCCGTCATTGATTTATTAGTAAATGTATGCCCGAGAAGGGAAATACCCACTGTAGTCCGGATTGGGATGGACGCTCGGGATTTGCAGATACTCGCGGAGGTACTCGACCTCCTGGTCAGCGTCCCACAGACTGCAGGAAGACATTCTGCCAATTCTAATGTTTTTAAACGCGAACCGCTGCGATCGAGAGCTCGCGGTAGACTGGCTTGTGTTAGCTAGTGTCGGAGTCGAGTTGCAGTGCCGCCGTAGAGCTAATGGACTTATCTGGCTATCAAAACAATTGTAGCGCCAACAGCAAAGTCTGTGGAAAAACATGATACGCGGGTTGACGGACGGAGATAATTCCAAAAAATTTAAAATGTGTGCCATGAGCGAGAATCAGAATTGGCGTGGGGGCATTACTAATACTTTTGTTTTCTGCCTCTGTCGTTAGAGATTTCGGGGCCCACCGTGTCCGTATCGCAAAATATCAACACGTAGGATTATTTTGGCATAGTAGACCCAACTATCTCTGTCTTATCAACACAAACTCGACCCAGATACGTGTTAAAGGTCATCTTTGTTCATCCACTGCTTGCATACACCGTCGACTGCTTGTGTAAAGTGTCTTACACCCTTCATGTATTTTACATAAACTGCTTGATCATTATCGTCCAAGAACGGGAACTGCTTGTCTTGAGTTTAAAAAGAATCTTTTATTTTAACATATTATTTAATTTACTTTGTGTTTGGCGACTTGGCGTAGAGAACATACATAGATTAAGGTAAAACTTATAGCGAGAATACGAAAATCACGACCCGGCTCAGGCCTTGCGCTCGAAGAGCACGGGGAATGGCTTGCCCTCCGGCGCCTGCAGCCAGTTGTCCTCCGAATACTTGACGTTGTTCTCAGTCTCGATTACGTGAAAGGTGTAGGCGTGGCGGCTCTTCTGCGAGCGGTTGGGCTCGCTCTTGTGCACCACGTTGCCGTGGATGAGGATGCAGGTTCCTGCAAAAAGGGATTCAGATCTTGTCCAGTTCAAGGATTGGCAGAACACTTACCTTTGCTGACCTGCATCGGCGTGAAGCTGGACTGGGGATAGATGGGCGCCGCCCGGTCGTACACCATCAGCTCGCTGGCACTGGGATCTGGGTTACGCATGTAGCGCCTGTGGACGCCGCTCTTGTGCGAGCCCTTGATGAACTGGAGGCAGCCGTTCTGGAGGGTGCAGTCCTCGAGGGCCAGCCAGAAGCCTACCGCCGAGTTGGGCTCCGTGTGCAGGAACCAGGAGTCCTGGTGCGGCGTCACCTCGCCGCCCACGCCGGGGTTCTTGTAGATGTACATGCTCTGGCAGACGGCCGGGCGGTTGTAGTTCAGCTGCCAGCAGATCTCCCGCACCCGGTTGCTGAAGGTAATCGCGTTGAAGGTGGGGTGCTCCACGTGCAGGGCGTGGCCCACCTTGTTGAGGGCGATCATGGGATCCACCAGCAGCTGGCCCTCCTCGCCGACCGCCCCCTTCTCGAAGAAGTAGCGCACCTTGTCGCCGGACTCCATGAAGTACAGCTCCTTGCCCTGGGCGTCCTCCTGCTTGATGGTGCTAAAGATCTTGCGGTTTGTTTGTGGGGCCTCCATGCAGAGGGCCCTGCCCGCCTGGAAGAGGGAGTCCACCTCCTCGGGCGTAAGGAAGTCGTCGATGACGATGTAGCCATTCTCGTTTAGCTGCGAGCGAAAGAGGGTGAAGGTCCGCGGTTAGTATTATAGCTAATCTTGCGCCAACCCGTCTGGCGAGTGCTGTAATCGGTCGACCCGTAATCTCCTCCCACCCCCAAAGTACAAACTATTGAGTGGGTCAGACTAATCTATTGGGGGAAGAGTTTCTCGCACTGTATTCGCGATCTCGGTTCACCTTTTCCCCGATTTGCTAATTAACAAATTCCTGCACACGTCAAAACGCTAATGCCGCCTGACACAAGCCCACCGAACCGAGATCCGTGCTCATTCATTGAAATCACTCAACGTAAAATTGAAAATTCACACATTCCCTTGTTTTGTTTGTTTGGATTGTTCGGGTACCTATAGAACTGCGATCTATTATTCTAGTAGCTACCTATTCTAGTCAACGTCAACCTCTTGTCCACCAGCAGTAGGGCAACCCGATTTCGGCCTGGTCAACATGTTTCTTTGTGGTGGGTGCTCTCCTGGCCGCCCACCCTCCCCAGCACGAGTGCGGCTAAATAAAATATATTTAAATGGCTTGAGCGAGAAAATCTCAAAGATGAAAAACGAGAGTAAAAATAGTCGTCGTGACTCAAGGCACTGAACACCTGAAGTGATTGGGGAGATGAAAGAGATCGGGTCAGCTGTCGATCCATAGGTTCACAAATGCAACATACCGCTCGGGTCTGGGGGGTACAGTGCATTTGAGTCCGCTTGAGAGGCGTGTGCACTGGAAAATTACCCCAGAGGGTCACACATATATGCTCCTCGTCTGTTAGTCGTAACATGCTTACCCAGCTGATTTTGTAATCGCAGTCGTTGCTGGGATGTGATAATGCTGGCAAGTGCAGTGGGGCTTGTGTGAGCTCCCAGGGGTGTTTTGCATTTTGCATTCGTTTTGTAATCCAATCGTTAAGTCATTGGCAAAGCTAGAACTCGTAACAGGCCTACAGAGAGAGAAGCTACTTTCACTTAATAACGTTTGATTCATTCAAAATCAAACATTGGAGCTTCTATTAACTTTGTTTCTCTAGTAAGTAAGTAAGTCTGTCTGGAACTCCTAATCGCCAACTCTGACAGTGCGCAGCTCTGATAGCTTCCAGCCGATAAGAAGTGTTTAAGTGAATATTGTTTATGATTAAAAAACGGCGTATGGACAAACCAGTTTTTCAACAACTGAACAAACTATTCCGAACCATAATTAAGACCCGTAACTATTATGAGCTCCACGCTCCGTCTCAGAGAAACGAGTCTGGTAGCTTAATGTCCCCATTCTTCCGTCCAGTAGCACCCTCCGACCGTCGCCTTGACCTTCTGCAGAAACAAAAGAACGTTCTCCTCCGAATGTGGATACTCGCGATTATGACGTGCTTCGGTGTAAATAAAAGAACAACTCATCCTAAAACGGGATGACTAAGGGGTGCGTTCAATCTAATATAGATTCCGGAAAATGGAAGACGAATCCATCGAATCTGAAATGGTGCGGAGATTGACCCACCTCGTCCAACAGTTTGCTGTGCATTCTGGCCGAATTGGGATGGTTCCTGGTTCGGTGGATTAATAATTGAAATTCACTTTTGTTTTCGCTTCGGAACGCTGTCTTTTGTTTGGTTTTCTGATCACTTCCGTTGTCGCTTCGCTGCGATCGAGAACGTTTCGCACGGCTTGGCGTTTCTTTTGAAACTAAACTGTAGAGAAATTTTCGAAAACGCTCGAAAATATCTGTCGGGGCAGCTCCCACGCGGCGCTACCGTTACATATTCTAAACATATGTCTCTCCCGATCCGGCTCTGTTAAGTAGCAGAGATCGGCGCTGTTAATGTTCGGCGCGTGTATATGTTGTTGCTATATAGTTATAGTGTTCCTGGTCTCGTAATCAGTCGGAAAGTGTGCCGGCCAGCCATTGACTTTGATAAATAAATACGACTTTGGCTCGGTCCGCTGAGGGCTTTCTACTGGACTATCTGTCTCTATCCCTGTCTCTTGACCTCTGATCCCTTGTAACACGTGTACTGGCTGTGATCACCAGTGGGGGGGGTGGAGGGTCATACATATGTTACATGTGCATGTACATTAAACATCCACATGAATGCATACACGTACATACTTTCATGGATTATACGGGCATTCAGATACACTCAGAGATACGGTAGTTAGTAGATACTTCCCGTTTAATTCAGATACTTTTGTCCCTAACAGATACGCTTTTTAATGGCAGATACCTCGCAGGTTATCTTTACCTGTGTACTTTAAGATAGCTTAGAGGCACTTTCCAAAATTGTATCGAAATCTTTGAAATCAGCATATATTAATCCGCTAGAATCCAATAACTGGTTGAAATCACCCTTCAGATAAGATGGAAGAGCCAGACCAGCAGTCTTAACCACTTGGTATTATTGATTCCTCCTTGAGATAGGCTTACAATAGGTCTTTGTAGCATATGATACAATATTATTCAAATGCCAATCCATCTTTTTTTTGTTAATGGATAAAAGGCCGAGTCGCTGTCATAATTGGTTCGCTTAATTTTCCCTTGAGTTGCCTCCATTTTAGTTCCGCTCATTTAATACATGCTGCAGAATAGCTAAGGCCAACTATTTATTTTTCAGACTCGTACATTTCCTTGACAACTTTATGCCGACTGCAAACACAAATATTTGCACCTCTGAGCGCCGTGTGAGCAGCAGTGTGTGCTGTGCATAAACAAAGGCTTAGAGGCACTCTTCGGCTGCACCTCGACCTGGCCAACACACCCACTGAGCCACTAAGCCACTACCTACTAACTAAAGCGGCCGACTAACTAAGCAAGCCAGCGACTAAGCCACGGCAAATGGCATAAAGACCATCGCCAGACCCGCCAGAAAATGGCAAAATGATAAACAAGCGTGCAGGAAAGCGAATGTACTTGCGATGCTGCGCTGGTTGCATTTGTTTGAAAGACATATGTAGCTCTTCAGACCCGGCTCGCACTCGCACTCGGACTCGGATTCGGATTCGGATTCGGATTCGCATTTATTGCCACTTCACAGAAGATTAATTACACGAGCGACGGCCATAAATAAGGCAAACAAATGCGAATAGCCGCGCAACAGCATTATTTGCAAATTGGAAGCATAAAAGTAAGTGCATGTTGTAAAATTCAAATTAGAAACCACCATCCCATCAGCGACTGACCTTGAGGAGTCAAAGAAGTGGGTGGAAGGGGGCGGCGGACGGTGTTGGTGCCGGTCGTCGGTGTTCGGTCGTCGCAGCTGAACAATCCAGTCATAAACAATGTGCAGCCAAGAGGCTCCCACTCGATGACCCAACACCACCACCACCACCTCCACCTCCGTTCGCCCCGCTCGAAACCCATCCCAGCCAAGGTCATCTCTTTTGGTTCTTCTCCACGTCTCGCCGGGACTAATTAAATTAATTAACATTTCAGGCACGCGATTGGCCCGAAAAAACAAACAAACTGATAACAAGCCCAGCTCTGCTTTGTCTTCGCTTCTTCGCTTTTTTCCCAATTTGTTTTTTGGCTTCAGAAGGTGAATGCTATTTTCGCCTCAGCTGATGACTCTCGGGTCTGATTAGAATGTGCCCCGTCAGGGGATCATAAATTAAGCTAAGCTGCCTTTCCAATTTGCATACCCTGTAATATTATGCGCGTAGACGGGTTGCTCGGTAGCTCAGAGATTTTATAATATTCATGGTGTTTGGGTTTTATTGTGTTATCTGATAGCTCAATGCCTTTACAAAAGCTTTGCCTAAATTAATATTTATATCAAGATAGCTTCAGTAGTTTAGGTATCAAGTTTTCCGCACGCTTTCTTTCTGCGATTATTTTCCAAAGAGGATGTTAGCTTTGTTGGGTTTTATTAATAATTCGCATTTTGTTTATTTGGGACGGGCCCCCATGTAGATTCGTGCGATTTGAACTTGACCTTAGCACCTTGGATTACTTTTGTTTCAAGTCTGTCAGGCAAGTGAGAGGAGATGCTGACGGCTAACCCACGTTTAGATAATACTGCACTAGATGCATTATCCAGAAAAGACCACTTTCACCCGCTATGCAGAGATCAGGTCAACTATTCCACGATGAGCTCAGCTCTGACTAATTTCACTTTCAATTGTGGCCATAAATCAATGATGCCACAAAATCAAAGCCACAAAAAAGAGATATAATACTCTGATCAATCGCAGGCCAAATGGGGGAAGATGGGGCGACTTAAAGCCATAAATCTAATGGTTTCCAGCCAAGTCTGAAATGCAAATGCAAGAGTGGTACCTATCTGTGTAGGTGAGCGACTAGCCAGTTACATATTCCCAATGTCAGCTGAATTAAAACTCAATTTGGAGCGGAGATTACGCGTGTTGGGGCAGTCCCACACTGGGAAACTTGGTTAGTAAATGGGTTACTTGGATAGATATCTACCTTATCCGAAAATGTAACTAATTAGCCTGAAAACCGTGGGGTAGCTTTCTATAGTTGGAGGTGCGTACTTTGGGTTAAGTGAACTCCAGACTATCCTAGAAGGGAGTTGCGGGGAAGGGCGAATGGTGGGAGTGAGGCGTCTGGGAAGAGGGTCCCACCTTCGCAGCCAGTTGGTTATGAAAGCATTTACAAAGGCAATATGAGTTTTTGTTCGCCCGCCACTCGGTGCTGCCGTCTGCAGGCCAGGTCTTCAAAGTGAAAGAAGCATTAAAAGCAACTCGAAACATGATGACTTGACTCTGCCGGTAATTTATACGAAATGTGCGTTTTTGCCTCATTTATGTGCCTATGTCAGTGTGCCAGTGTCGGTATGTTTCGTATTTCCAGCATTTCCCTTATAATTACATGCTCCCCATGCATAATCGCCGATCACGTTCGCAGCTGATGGCTTCAAACGCCAAAAAACGAAAAGTTGCAGAAACAAGCTTGAAAACATCCCACCATTAAGGAAAAAATCTTTTGAAATCTTATTTGAATTCGCAAAAATCATAACGCGGATGGGTATCTTAAACCCATCACCGTTTGGGGTTATTGATTTGCCTTTGTTGGCTCAGATACAAAAGCGGTGTTAGCCGAGCTGCGTGAATGTGGCTGACAAAGCTTAAGAGTCAAGTCGAGGGCCTTGGCCAAGAACAAAAGGATGCCCGCCTAGACTCGGAACTCGCCTTGACTCCGACCAATGTCGCCCCACCAAACACAACGGTGGCCGCCGAGGCCCTAATTGAATTATGTAAGCGGGAAGCTAGCGGTTAATAAGCGGTTGCAATCCGACCTTTTGGATGCCGTTTTATTTCCCTTACTTTTCGCTTTTTGGCCGCCTCGGGGCGACACGAGCAGTCCAGAGCCAGCGGTGAACTTGGACGAGCGGATCACGAATCGCCAGTCTACTTTCTTTCACCTTCGAACCGGCGCTTTAATCCATCACCGAGAGATAGCAGCAGATGTCCGATTATCTAATCCGGTAATTGGGGGAGCAATTGGAAAAAGCAACTTTACGTTGTACTTTCGTGTGAACTTCATTGTAGGGATACGGAGCAGTTGAGTCTGGCCCCTGAGCCCCGCTTATAACTTGACTAAAATAAATAGCGTTGTTCGAGAAACAAGTTCAAAACGCAGAATCTCATTTGGATCTGCAAGCGTAAACAAAGCTTAGCCACTTGACAAATGACAGGAGGTGTGCAAAAAATGTGTTCGAGTTGCCGAAAGGCGCCGCGGCAGAAGACGTTTGAAGTTTTTGGAGCTTTGGACGACAGCGCGGTAATTACTGGCGACGCAGATGGCTGGGAGGGCTTGGAACACCAACTGCCAAAAAGAGCAACAGTGGCAGATACAAAATTATTAACAGCCCCATTCGTCGCAAAATCAATAGAAGCAGCAGCGCCAGCAGCAGAGACACTAACTGCAAAACCAGAAACCCGGCAGAGCGGCTGGCGCCGTAGCTGCAGTCGCCGCCGGCAGAGCGAGAGCGCTGAGCAGAGCTACAGGTAGCGGTTACAGGTGAGAGGGGGCGAGGGGGGGAGCTGCGCCGGCTGTGGGGCCGAAAGTTTTTCAACTCTTCGCCGACAGCGCAGACGCAGCGATCAGAGCGGTTTTGGAGTTCGTTGCGACCGGTCGCGAGTCCCAGGCACAGTGAGGCCCCCATACAGAGTCCCTGGATCGAGTCCGAATCGCGAGTGATCACCTCTTTGTCGCAGACTTTTCGCAGTGCGTGTCGCAGTCCAGGACTAGAAGGTCCTTTGGAGAAAGCACCGAGTACGAGACACACGCGCAGATACGCAGACACCCATCGTTCAGATACACACTCAGATACAGTGAGGCAACCGTTAGCTAGCCATGCTGGCAATGAAGGATAAACCTTGGCTGCTGCTATTTGGCCTATTGGCCGCATTAAGCTGTAAGTACCCCGGGCAGTGATTTATAAGTGCCATTGTGATGCAAATTGAACGGATAGAGATGCAGGCAACACACAGCTAGAGACACCTACAGATGCAAATACAGATGGAGATACATTTGTATCTGTGTCTGTGTCGGAGTAGATGCGGAGTCGGAGCAGCCGAAACTAGATTAGTGGCCAGTGTTTATGGCTAGAGGGCGGCCCAGACAATGAGCCCACATAGAGCTCAATGACACGCCGAGTCCGAGTCCGATCCGATCCGATCCGAGTGTATATCATCTTTTGTGGCTGTGCGCCAGATGAATATTTATCAGCTTTATGATCGTTTATGCCAAACGATTCGCTGCTGACCGTTGAACCGGCTGCTGGCCAACAGAAAATAAAGATGACAATTGTCCCACTGACGGACTGCATTAGCATTTCCAGCTGGGTTTTGCATAAATTGCTGGCCAGTTTCCTTGATTCCATTCCGAAGACCTCCTAGCGACTGGACCAGGCGATGGGAAAGTAGGTCTCGGTGTTCGGTTCGCTGTGGTGGTATGTGCGGAGGGGAAGGAGCTATACCAGGAGCTAACCATCAAGCTTGTGATTGTGTTTATCACATGGAATGTTGGGTCTTCTCATATAAGTATCCGACTAACGTAACATTCAGACTCTACCAAGCGGCTTCAAGTGACTGGCAATTGCCCCCGACCCCGAGTTCCTTGGGGTTAACTTGGCCAATACTCGAATGCAAATAACTAATAGCTTGCACAGAGCTCTACCTCGATCATCATTGATAAGCCTGACTCGGTGGCTTTTTAATTGCACCTTTGGCATTTTGCATACCGAGCTTAGAGCCGTATTCCGTGATGGATTCTGGGCCAACCAGGCGGAAATTGAAATCGGCTGGGCAGAACCATGGCCGACAAATCTGCAAGAGCGACTGGGCCAGGTTCTGGCCCCAAACGAGAAAGACTCGTCCGCGTCTGCAAAATATTTGGAGCAGCAACCGCCACAGCCATGGCCTCAGAAAAGTGAGCCAGCCAGGCTGCCAGCGGGTATAAAACCAATCGAGTTGTGTCAAAAATAAAAAATAACTGCAGGCCATGGCGACCGAGTCGCAAACCAAAACCCATTTGATGGCAGTTAAAAAAACCAAACGTGTTTTTGGCCCATGAGCAAAGAAATAAATAAAAATTAGATAACAAAGCAACAACGATTGTAATAAAACACAAATAAATTGAATTTGAACAACAACTTTGTGAAGGTGAAGTGGGAACTTTTCGAGCGAAATTCGCCAGACCACAAAGCAAACAAAGTTGCCCCATTAAGTCGGCTTAGAACCATTCATCTCCCCGAGAGCGGTATTAGTGCCCATTAAGGCCCGGGCCTGTTGTTGTTCTATGCGAAGGCTTTACACGCCCCGGCAAAGTTCGGACTGTTTTCAAAATTTATTTGCCGTAAATCCGTAAATCCGAAACTTCCTGTGGCCCAAAGCGATCGAGGTAGAACTGTGACGCATTTAGAACAGAGTTTGAGTTTATGTTTGGCTCATTTGTTTGGCCTAAAACCCGTTGATATGTAAATGGCGAGCACTGGGAGCAGCATGACCAGCGACTTTGGCTAGCATATGTTTCTAAATATCATACACAATTGATTTCTCACGGTGTACTGCTAATTAGGTGCTCGTTAAGTGGCTGCAGAGTCACCGTCTTTGTTTTCGTTACCCATTGACTCACCCACCCAAGTTTGTTGCCCAAGTCTTTTGTTATGGTCCCTAATCTCATTGACTTTTGTTTCTCGTTTGGCTTGCAGGCTTTGGGTCCGGAGATGCCGCCTACCCTTACTACGGCACCAAGATCGGAGCCCTGACCCGCCTGCACCACGGGGTCTCCGGCGACGTGTACGCCGTGGATTCGCGAACCATCTTCATCAAGAAGTTCAACTATGACGGCGAGGCCCCGGCCGCCTACTTCTACGTGGGAAACACGGCCAAGCCCAGCAACGAGGGCGCCGCCCGCCTGCGTGACGAGCGGGGAGGCACCGCCTCGCTGACCCGCCGCTACCGGAACAAGGACATAACCCTGTCACTGCCCGAAGGCAAGACCCTGCGGGACATCAAGTGGTTCTCCGTCTGGTGCGATGAATTTGCCGTGAACTTCGGTGATGTAGCCATTCCGGCCAACCTGGACTTTCCCCGCCCGCAGAAGATCAGCGCCCTGAGGGGTGTCCACGGAGTGGCCTCCGACAACATCGTTATCGTAGATGCCCAGACCCTGCTGGTGCCCAACTTTAGCTACGACGGGGAGGCGCCAGGTAGGTTACACCTCAAGTGATTTATAAAGAGTCTTGAGATGAAAACGCGTCAGCATCTGTGCTAGAATCTTAAAGCTCTAAGAACTCTTACTGAGCTCTGGTCATCTTGTCCTTGCAGATGCCAAGTTCTGGGTGGGCCGAGGACAGCGTCCCACTCCGGAGGGTCTCCGGATCCCGGATGAGAACGGCAAGGAAAACCCTCTGCGGCGCTACGACCGCAAGACTATCGTGCTGACCCTGCCCGAGGACCTCACCATCTTCGACATCGGCCACTTCGGTGTCTGGTGCGAGGCCTTCACCGTGGACTTCGGCCACGTCCGCCTCCCAGAGGGCCTCAACGTCCCGCCCTCGCTGAAGATGCTCGGCATCAGTCCACAGGTAAAGAAGAACGCCAACCAGGTCCTCAGCGAGCTGCAGCGCTGAAAGCTAATTGTGGGGATGTGTGTTCGATTCTATTTATGCAATTAACTTATTGTTGTGTATGCAAAACAAAAAACAAAAACAAAAAGAATATTTATCCAGAAGCGACTTGCGACTGCGAATTGCATCCGGCTCCACGGCACGTGGCCGGAAATTCCTAGACTGTAAGCTGGCGAGAAGCGAATTTTGCGGATGGCCGAGGAGAGATGCAAAATATATATATTTATATATACTACATATACTCGTACATAAGTGTGCAAACACATTCTATAATATACATGTGTCTTTGTTGTACTCACCTGCTTGTTATTTGTGTTTTGTTGTCTTGGTCAGCTTTTGCTTGAACGCGTCTTGTCCGGGAGCGTCTTATACAAAATGAAATCTGTGTGGGACTGAGTCGTATCTGTTCCTTCGCCCGAACCCACAACACAACCTACCACTGCCACACCACCACTACACACATAAGCACACTCTCCCACCGCCCAAACACGCCTGTAACCTACTAACCCCCAGCGAAATTAAAAGCATTTTTCATTTTGTATGTTGCTTCATAACGAACTTATTCAAAGAATTTCAATCCAAAAATCTATTCAAAAGCAAAAACTTTCGAACACAGCAAAACAAAATTGCAATCATTTAGGATACGTTCAAAATTCTGACTTTGGCAACGCTTCTCCCACCTCCCTACTCCCACTTCCCGCTCACACACACCCACACTTCCATGCTCCTGGCCACATCCCCCATCCCATACCCGATTCCGAATCCTACTCCAATCGAAACCTTCCCTTCAACGAATCTCTTACAGTCGAAGCTCAACTGCGAGGTGCTCTACGACGACCTGGCCTTTGAGGTTCGCTGGGCAGTGGCCGGCGAAAGCATCGTGGTCCAGTTGGTGGCCAAACTGGGTAAGTTTCGGGACCGCCAATCATTATTTTATTTTAAAAACTTAAACTTGATTTAGTTTTAAATTCGCTACACATAGAGTAGTCATTAACGAGTACCTCGCACACTCCTTCAATTACCGAAGATCTCCTCAGATGATCTCAATGATAGACCTTTAGTCGCAGCCCATATCTCATACAGTCTCCGGGTAAACTATTCAGTTTTTCCGAGCGAGTGTATTATTTGGGAATTCTTCAGACAAATGTCAATCCCTTTGCCTGACCTATCCCATGAGGTACTGAGTTACTGACTGCCGAGGCGAGTGCTGCCGCTGATTTATGATGCTTTGACATTTTATCGAGTACAGTTAGCAAGGGAAGGGGCCGTCGGACTCGGATGCTTGGATGGCAACAATAAAATCCAGTTAGCATCCAAATTGACCGATCAGCATCCACGGCAGCAGCATCAGCATCAGCATCGGCATCGGCATCGGCATCGGCGGAATAACAAGTTGCGCATTATGACGACTGGTTTTATTGCGCAACTCGAGTGCTGGCTTAATGGGTGGACAAACGGACGAGTGGACAAATGGGCACATGGGCAGATGAACAGATGGATAGATCGAGGCATGGAGGCCTGAAGAGCTGGCGGAGATTTGTTGCCCCAAGCTCTGCCACTGGTCTTACGCCAAAGCGGGGAGTTCGAATTGGCAATCTTCAACCGCTAAGAATGCCGAAAGGAATTTCCACTGGGAAGATTCTGCCAGCCTTCCGACCGGTTCCGTTCAGCTCAGTTTAGATTAGTCAAGCTTGGCGGTTCTTCCAATCACTCCTCACATGGAGCTTGAAAAACCACAATACATTTTGCTTTAGTTGTAATTAATTTGTTATTTAATGTTTAAAATGTACTAATTTATGCTCCAAACTGTTCTCGCAGAGCCCAACCATTACATGTCCTTCGGCATTTCGCCAAACAAGAACATAAGTCAGATGATCGGCGCCGACGCCGTGGTGGCCTGGGTGGACCCACAGACAGGAAACGGATTTGCGCAGGACTACTTCCTGGAGGGCAAGGCCCAGTGCTCGGGTGGGCGGGGCGCTTGCCCGGACACCAAGATTTCGGAGAAAACCAACTCGATCAGACTGCTGAACGCCGCCATGGTGAATGGCTACTCGATCGTCACCTACCAACGGTCTCTGGCCGCCACAGACCGCCTGGATCTGCCCATTTCCGTTACGGATGCCGAGTCGGTGGTCTGGGCCATTGGCCCGCTGAACGATTACCAGGAGGTGTCGTTCCACACCTTCTACAACAAGCACCTTCACCAGATCGAGTTCGGCCGCCAGCCCAAGTGGAACTGCCCCTTGCCCGAGGGCGCCCGTCCTGGAAGCAACTCCTCCGACGAGCCCGATGACTCTGTCCCTGCACCGGCTCAGAGCTCGACGGGGGGTGCGGGATACCCACCGGCCGGCAGGCCCAAGGGAGAGCCCGAAGAGGAGTTTTATGAGAACCGGGCGGAGGCCCTGCATCGCCAACCGCCCCAAAGGCGCCAGGAAACCGCTATCGTCACCCAGCGTCGACCGGTGCCTACTCCAAAGCCGGTCAATGCCAACGGGGCCTGGGACATCCCAGCTATCCAGTGCCATGAGCCAGAGGATGGGGTATTCTACGCTCAAATGGGTCCCACTGGCGGAAAGCACGGATATCCGGCCATCACAGGTAAGCAATGACTGGAAGCCAATTGAAGTATGTTCCATATAACACAATGATTCGCAGGTCACGTTGGATGGGGTATTTCCTGGTACATTAACGGACTCCTGATTCCGGAGATTCACGTTGTGCGCGGCAGGACCTACACCTTTGTGGTGGAAGGCGGCAACAACCCAGACATTCCAGCCAAGTACCATCCGTTCTACATCAGCGATGATCCTGTTGGAGGATACGAACATAAGCGCGAGGAGGAAAAAAAGGTACGGATAAAATTGGTGGAGATTTGGACTTCGAATGAGTTCAAATTTTGAGAAAACCTGATCCCTCCAGCTTTTCACAAACAAGGATGCAAATTAAAAGTCATTGTATACGTTTTTTACAGGCCGTTCGCATCTTTGCTGGTGTGCATCGCTCCCGCTCCGGTCAGGTGACACCCACTGGCGTCGGTCGCCTCTGCAACTGGACACCTGACGTGGAGGGTCCTCCGGCGGACGACTACCAGTCCTTTGGAGCCTACCAGCGCACCCTTACTCTCAAGTGCGACTCCGGAGAACCGGGAGTCATCAGCTGGAAGCCGGATAGGAACACGCCGGACACCGTGTACTATCACTGCTTCACGCACCGCTACCTGGGATGGAAGATCCACGTCCACGACTCTTGTGACTCGGAAGCGGGCGGTCTGAAGGGATCGGCCTCCGAAAGACACGAGATCAGAATTCCCGCAGAGCCCGCCCCCGTGATTGAAGAGCTCGCCGGGGAGACGGCAGCAGCCTCGCTGCGGCACGAAACAAAGGTCAGCGCCAACGATAATTTTTTATTGAAGCACCAAACCGATTTGATTAAGAACCACAATATGAACGGGACACCGCCCAAACTAAGCTTTGAAATAACGAAATCTTCGGAAATAACCAAACTGATTTCAGATGGCATCCGCGCTGCTGAGGCTCTCGAGGAGAGCCTACTGAGGAGTCAGTCCCCCCAACCGCAACATATCCACCAGAAACCGAATCCAAAACCGAACTTGTACCCGAACCAGAAACCGAACCCGATTTTCCAACTGAACCCGAACCTGAATCCAAGCGAGAGCAGCTCAAGGCCCGAGATTCTGCTGGGCGAGACCCAATCTCATCCAAAATTTAACGCCGCTCCATCCGCATCCTCATTTCCATCCGCACCCACTGTATCACCTCCCCACAACCTAAAGCTGCCTATCCTCGCGGCTGCCCCCCATCTCGTCCATCCGCACCTCCAGCACTTGCATCGCTTGCATCCGCACCACTTGCACCCGCATGCGTCTCAGTCCCAAATCCATTTGCATCATCACAATCTAACTGCTAATCTTCCAGCGTTGACCCAGAAAACCATTGGCTTGTCGGAGTTTCTGCGTCCGCCGCAAAACGCTCCGCTCTTTCATCCAGTGAAGCTTCCAGGACGCCGGCCGTTCCCAGCTCCCATAAAAAAGGTTCCAGCCTCCAGACCAGCTGTGCTGCCCCAGCAACACCCTCACCCGGTTATCTTGCAGCAGCCTTCCCTAATTGTGAGTCACTACAGGAAGCCAGTGCCGGGTCTGCTCAAGCCCTTCGTCAAGGAAAAGCCTTTTCCCTTGCAGCCCCTAGCGGCGTCTGTGCTTCTCCTGGGCCAGCCCACGGAGCTGGGAGGTATAGAAGCGGGCCCCAAGCCGAAAAGTAAGCTAAAAATTCCAGTACCCTATAGCGATCTGGAGCCCCAAGGGTCGATAAAAAACAACGCCTTCCTAAACCACAAAGGCAAGGGGAATCATATGTCAGGAGCAAGTCCTCCGCCAACTTCAAGCCCGGTAGCTGTCACTACAAGAGAACCACCAGAGCTGGTGAAACGTATTCCCCTCAAAGAACCCTCTTTGGAGGAAATTGCCAGCATGAAACCAGCCGTAAATCATGGATTCAAGCCCGACACCGTAATCGTGGAAAGCGGCTTTCGTCCCATTATGCGGACTGATGGTACTGGTGTCCAGTTGCCGAAGGAGATAATAGATCAGGTAGCCCATCGACGAGAAGATCCCGGCACCGAAATCGACGAGGTAATGGAAACAGACACCCTCTTCCTGACTGCCCAAAATGGCGGCGGTGAGACCCAGAGCTTCGAACCGATGTTCATCCCCTCTCCCTTGGACAGCACCAACGCCTCCAAGATGTTGGAGAACTCCAATGGCAATAAGGTGAGTCCGACGGCTTCGGCTCTAAGGTTGCCAACGGCGGCGCTGGAGCACACCCTGCCCTCCGATCCGCAGTTCAAAAAGCCCACACTGGAAGAACTTTTAGACGATGAATTTGAAGCAGATCTTAAGGCTGAAGTAGCATATGATCCTGAACGGGAGCGGTTATCCGATGAAAAGGTAGAGGACACGAACACAAACCACACTACGGACTCGACCAGCACAACACGCTCCCCGGACGCCGGGTTCTTGGCCGATTTGTTTGGGCCTGACGCAGTCGATGAGGAGCTGTACGTGGATGAAATGGAGCAGGAAGCTGACGATCGCATAGCGTCCGCAGCGGAACGCATAGACACGTACTACCTACCGCCGGACAACCGGAAGATTCCCCACGCCAGCCTTCCCAGCGGAGCTCTCTACACCTTCGACGGAAAGTCCGTAGTGGACAGCAGTCTCGTGTTACCTCCAAAGCTGGACGCTCCCAATGTTCGACAGTCGTTTGGGATAACCGCCTTGGAGCAGCTGGTGCGAACCACGCCGCAGTTCGGAGCGTATAGGGGGGAGCTGCCGGAAGAGTTCCGAGCCACAGACCCACCACAATCAGTGACAGACTTCTCCAGACCGGTGCCCTTCAGTAGAGGCCCTGTCAGCAGCACTACTGGGTTCCCTGGCACCTCTATCTACCCGTATTCCTCCACAGGGGCAGCCACAGACACATCCCCATCATCATTGTCGTCATCGCCATTGTCCTCGACATCGCTGAGACCCATTTCAACCAAATTGCATCTACTCAAAGCAAATGGCAATAGTGCCAATGCGTAGGAACCGTAATATCGAAATTATAATGAAAGTTAGCATTATTCGATTTTGGGCTATACTCATAACCACTATCCATTAAATTTACTCGTAATCGCGTATTAGGCTGTAGTTTTCTTTTTATCATTTATGACTCTTAATTTTAAATGAAACATGAATTTTATTAGCTAAGCTAAACGATTGTTTAAGCCGCATTATAGTCGTTGTGAAATAAATCCAAGAAATAATTCAATGTGTTTAAATTTGAAGAATAACGTGAGTCCACAAGACGCACTAAGGAGGTAGGTCAAGATCAAAGCTTGGCATGGAACTAGTTCCACATCCGACTAGTTCGATATCGATAGTACTTCAGACTTCTTTTTCAAAACTATGAACCAGCCAACAGCAACGAAAGAAAGCTATATAAGACTATCGCATTTTTAAACGTTATAAATTAATTGAATAATTTCGATGATTTTATAACGTCTTTATCGTTATTATTTCATTAAGCTCTAGCGAATAAAACCGCTAAAAAATAAGGAAAAAAGTTTGTCTTCTAAAAAGTAATAGCGATGCTTTTCTAGCTGTTTTATTTCCATTTCTTTGGAAATATAGGAAAAAATATTCTGTTTCATTTCCCTGATTTCTGTGTCCAGATCGAGGCGCAGTAAAGTCCAGTAAAGTTGTTAACGATACTCCGTTTTCAAATTGGTTGGGATATGGTTGAGATATTGGACAATTACCAGATGGAAAATGTAAAAATGATGCCTTGGATATTTCAAGCACATTCAGAAATTAGAAATATAAAACCTTTTTTTATACTAGCGCCCATATTCTTAGAATCCACTTTACGCCACCAATTGACTTAAATGACCATATATATTAAAATTTTAATATTAGTGTGAGAAAGAAAACGAGTTTTTTATGCCGGGCGGCATCTTATCCTTACCACTAATAGTCTAATTCTAAAGTTAAACGGATAATTATTATCGGCTTAAGGATTCTCTTAAAAATAACGATATGTTGGTTTGGTTGCTTGCGAAAGAGTTCGAAACACACAAAAAATTATTAAATTAACGTAAATATAGGATAAAAGTATTACTATTTGTGCTTGCCAAAGCACTTATTTTTAAAATTAGCGTTAACTAGCTCGTACTCATTTTATCTGGCATGCGATTCTATTTTTACTGACTAAATATTTCCTGGTCGAAATGATTACAATAATTGTATTAAACTTTAAATTACAAATAGTATTGCCTATCGGGAAGATTCATATTTTAATCGATTCGATGGCCTAGCAGTTCATATAATTGGGCGCCTCTCCCGCCACTGAGCTCGTTTGTTCGGTTTTATCCTTTCCTGGTTGAATATCACCCACGTTTTGATATACTTCAGCTTTTACTTCGATGCTTTCCGCCCTGGGGCACGACACCGGCACCAGTTTTGGCTTAAAGGAGCTGCATCCGTTGGTGGAGTGGCTCTTTGTCAGCTTCCCATAGATGATATTCGGCCTCTCGTTCAGTTTGATGGGCTGAAGGGTTACCCCATTGTGGTTCTGATAGTGCTGCGTATCCGCCTGCTCCTTCGTTTCCACGATGGTGTTCAGGTAGTTGTTACTTTGGGAATTGGTGGAAGTCGATGGGCTGCCGTATACTGGAATATTCGAGGGGAACATTTGGTAGTGCTCGGATCCTATAGGGCTGGTGGGCGTGTTTAGCCGCAGACAGCTAGACATGGGTGAAGGGAATACTATCTGATGGCGCTCATCACCGGGCGTTGAGCTGGGCGTTAGCACTGGCCTTGGAGGCGGTGGCACTAGGTAGTTTTCCATCATACGGCAGTGCGGCATCCGACGATCCTCGTGGTCGGAGTGGGTTCCAGAATCCCCAAGCGAGGCTCCACTGCAGTTACTGCCCGTGCTGAGTCTACCCGACGAAGAACTTGAGCTGGACAAACTCTGCAGACTGAGCGAACTAATTGGTCGGCCTGATGCACCCACTACGGATCCCACAGCGCCGCCCGATTTAAAGCTGCAGCTTGTGCCGATAGAGGACTTGGTCTCGTCTAAGAGGCTGTCGTTTCCTCCGGGAGCCTGCTGGGGCTTCGTCCGGGAAAAGAACTTCTTGATCCGCTCGAATGGGGTTTCCCTTTTTAATTGCGACTTGACCTGCTCCTGGATACGCTCGTACTCCAACCGCAGCTGATCAATCTGGTCCTGCTTTTCCCGGAAGCTCTGCTGCACATCGTTACGGTGCTTCCACCGCTCAACTAGCAACTCCACATCGCGAATGGAGAGAACGTTGTTCTTAAAGTCGTGCATGATCTCCGCTAGTTCATCGTCCGCATTGGATCGCGCAGTACTGGCATCACTGGCACTTCTCTTCAGCGTTCCATAGCTGGGCTGCCGGTTCGTGCAGCGGACCATTCTTAAGTGATCCTCTACAGGGCGGTTTGAGGGCTGGAACAGATAGTTGCCATCGTCTGAGGCCACAGACGCTTGCACAGTCACAGGAACTGCTGCCGCGGACTCGGGTACGGATACTGGCACTGGAACGTTGGAAGGCTGCAGCACGTAGTCGTTGCCAGGTTGGTTCTCCAGAAGCTGGGAGCACTCTTGGCTAAACTTGTCAGTTTGGTACAGAGGTACTGCATCGACTTCGTCCTTGGATTTCGCCTGCAGGCTGTGCTCCTTGGACTGAAAGTAGGGGGGTTCGTTGATTCTCAGCTCGTTTGTGGTTTGCTCCGGTCCAGGCAGACTAGCGGGTTCCGGAAGCTTTTTATCGGCGTCTACCTTTTTCTCGGCAACGGATGCTTGGAGGTTTTCGTCCTCTGTCTCCACGCTTATGTAGTTCAGGTTCGAGATGGCCATGGTTTCCGTTTTGGCCCTGACCTCTGGAGTGTTCTCCCGTTCGGACCCACTTGACATTTCCATATACTCGGCTGTGGGCAGGGGCTTGAGTGGCTTGCTCGATTTCGGCGCCTTCCCGGCGTGAGCCTCGATGACTACGTTCGCATTCGGCTTGGGGCAGCTCTCCTCGCCAGGCTTTACTCCCATGAAGTAATGGTACATGGTGGTTAGTTCGTGGAACTCTGAGAAGCTTACTATGTTCTGAGCCAGCTTGTGGTGACCCTCTTGCTCGGCCAGTTCGGAGGGGGTGCGGCCGGCGCAGTTTCTCACCCCGCAGGCAGTGTCGCCGCCGGGGCACTCCATCAGCTGAATGCAGAGTCTGTTAAGACCCCATCGGGCGGCGAAGTGCAGAAGGGTGGGGTACTCCTCCGGACTTGATTCCAGTCGGGTGAAAAAGTGCGGTTGCCGCTCACTGGTACCGCTCAGCAGGTGAAAGTTCGGCGGCATGTTACGTTGAAAGCATTGCAAAAGGTGTTGGTCCAGGGCATCGCGCTCCACGGGTCCAATGCCCAGGGCGTGGCACATGAACTCGATGGGCGAGTCTTCAATGCGCAGGAGCTGCTCCAGTTCTCGCAGCCGACTCTCGCACTTAATGGGCCGGGCGCCGAGACTCTTATTGTTCTTCTCGATGCGAATCTCAATCATTGTGGATATTTCCATGCAAGCCTCCGGAATTGAGAACTGCAGCGTGTACGGATTGCGGCATTTAAAGTTGCGCAGCTCAATCAGTTCGCCGGACTTCTCCACGAAGAGCTTCAAGGTGTCGTTCTTCTCGAGCGGCTCTGCTAGGAGGGCGACCACTTTGTTCTGACCCAGCTTTACTTTCTTGGGCAGTACTGTGAAGCCCTCGGAGCATGCGGAGAAGCTCCGCGAAAGGCCACTTCCGCCTCCCGAGGCGAAGTGGTCGTGGCAGGGTGGACGCTGGCACAAGGCGCGTCCAAGGATATCCGTCGCGATGCCCAGGATGTTGCTGATCTGCACCTGGTCGTTGTCGCGCACCACACACCGGCGCCACTTGTAGTAGCTGGGCAGCGCGGTCTTATGCATCTCCTTTACTTTGTCCTCGCCCACGTCCAGGAGGATGGCTAGCACCTTCTCCACACGGATGATCGCGGAGAGCTCGTTCATAAGGAAGCTGTGTGGGAGGGCCAGCAGAGCAGGGCACAGGATCACGATCTGGAGCGCTGTGTTCTGGTACTTCTGGGCGATCTCCTCTCCGAAGGGACCATCGTCAATTTTGATGTGCAGAAAACTAGAAGGAAAACGGTTAGTTTTTTTAGTTTAAAAATTAATTCTAAAAAACTCACTTGAATGGCTTCCGTCCGCGCTGCTTGGTGATCTTGTCGAAATGGTTCTTCAGGAATGTGGCCCGCAGATAGGCTCGTTCGCTGTGCTTGGCTGTGATGATCAGGATGTCGTCCATGTTGTAGCCGGGAGCACCCATACAGCCGGATGCACTCGCTCCACTGTTGTTGACGCCGCCGCAGTTGTCTGGAAAATGAGAACAGGAACTGTCAGCGAGTTCTTCGAGTTTGCGATCGCCTTCCTTGGTGAGGCATCGCTGATAAGCCACCACTGGCCCACGGCGACCCTCGATCACCCAGCACTCACAGTGTGTATATAGACTCTATGGAGAGCCCCTGATAAATGCGGTCTTTACTTAGGACTTGCCCTGCGTGATTTGTGACCTATGCAAATAGTCCGTGTTCTCCCTTCGGGAATTTGACTTTTGATATGACTCGAAAGCACTTGTGGGAAAAAGTGTGCAATATAGTCGGGAAATCGCTCTCTACTTTATCTGCGGCAAGTACAGGGGCAAATATTTCCGACAGATAGATCTATCTTAGTGTGCAGGGACAACGATTTTTGTTTTGTATCACTGTGTTATTCTTTTTCTGATATTATTGCCATTAAAGACACATTTTACTGGAGATGCGTGATCCAATAAAGAGTGTTTTGGAGGCTAAGGGTTTATACTTAAGTGGAACGAAAACAAAAGTTTTTAAGGCCAAATCAAACACCATAAATTTCCGGAACAAAAAACTGTTTAGTCAGGCGGAGGGCTAGTTCTTGTTTTAGCCAAATACATTAGGACGAACTAATCACGCCGCGTTATTCCCCAAGTTTTCTGTCAGCTTCGGGCTGTCTCATAAATTCGGTCACGTTCGGTGCATTTAAATAAATCTCCTCGGATTCCGCCAAAGTGTACACACGTATACGACACCGACTGAGGAGCTGGAGAACAAACGATGTTGTCCCCTGGCCAAGCTGAAATCCACTGTCGCATTTTCCCCGAGTGGGAATTTAGAGGCCCCCGCAAGTGGCGTCTGTAGAAGAATCTCTCAGCAGAAGTGTCTACTCTCTGTCTCTTCTTCCTGCAGCCTGTCGGCTGTCGCCTGTCTTCGATCTTTTCTGCAGATGCTGCTCATCTTGAGGAGCTCAAGGAAACAGTGTATCTTTCTCTAGTTTTGAGTTAAATTTCGAGAGATGTGGGTTGAAAAAAGCCAAACATAAATAGCTGGAACTTTCTTGGACATCTGATATAGAATCTCTAGTTAAGATAGTCCAGATATATAAAATTTGGTAAGAAAGTCAAGCAAACTCCAATGTCAGCTCTTTCATGGCGCAATGGCGACTGCATTGAAATTTATTTCTCAATTATATGGCAGACGACAGTTTTGCATCAACGACGTGGCTGCTGAAATTCGCAAACAGATCCGAATGAATCGTATTTGTGGGATAAATAAAAGGCGCAGTCTGACATTCTGTTCCTGAGATGCTCCCTTAACTGATGTGACCGGCTGAGTGGCGGAACATCTGGTAATTGTTAATTCACTCCGCCTCTGGGGCGAAGACAAAATGCCCCTCTTTGTTCATTATCTGTGCTGCTGCCTTGTACACTTTGTTCTGCAGCTTGCAAATTCTTTTTTCGGCTGTGATCGATCACAATTTAATGGATCGCCTTTCGCAGCTGTACTCTGTGTCCCCGAGCCCAAAAACTCACTCATCTCCATGTCCACGTACTCCCCCACCGGCCCTGAGGCGCAGCTAAAGAGACGACAACTGCCCCCTGGCATTTCCACCGTGTCTGCGATTATCGGTTCGGATCGCGATTTGCGGAAAAACTCAAAATTTGATTTGTCCGGGCCGAGTGAAACAATGCACTAATTGTCGCGGCATCCACAGTGCGAATAGAACTGCTGGCCGAGGATCAGCCGCTGTCAGCAGCTGCCTACGACTGCGATAACGTTTTAATTAATTGATTAAAACTAACGTTCTCCGGCTGCTACTGGTACTGTGAGTAGGCGGCTGTGGAATCCAGACTGCCAGATTCGCGGATTGAATTAACTTAACACATTTTCTCTAGAATCCGATACAGAGTTGGGGTTCTTAAGAATATATAGTTTAGTAAATTTGATTTTCTGGGGAACTGGGGCCCCAGAAGTCTCCAAACCATTCTTTGAAACGATCTCATTTTAGGCCATACCCGCCTGAGTTTTAAAATGGTCGGTAGAGTATCCCCAACCACTAAAGTGACATTTTTAGTAATTTTTTGGCAAAAGACATAAATCAGCAAAAGGGCAACAAAGCATATATTTCTGATTAAATGGACTGCGGAGCATTGAGCGCTAAGGGGGTTGAGGTGACCGGACGAGACCCAAATTAACCCCCTCCTTTGGAGTGGAACAAACAACGAATCCCACATATGAGCACAGAGCTAAATCTTCGTGTGCGTTGCTCGCAACAATTATCATTTAATTATGTCATCTGTAACTTGATTATGCGCATACACATATTTGAGTTTAAGTCCAGCTTGCGATCTGGATTTGGTTAATTGTCGACTTCCTCGAGAGATTGCAGCATCATTCATCCAATTATGATCCCATTCATTCATTATGAACAGTCTTAATTGGACCCCTCCGAAATGAATCCTTTGGCTCTGAAAGCTCTCTCCCCAAGCCACCAGCAGCAGGAATTTTCCGAAAGAAAGCTCTCGGCAGTCGCTCTGGGCATAAATCATGAATAATTGAAACTGTTTTAGTTTCGGTACTCTTCCCAGCCTCGATCTGCTTGCAACCCGTACACTGGCCACTTCGTTAAATCAAAATTGCTGTTCCCATTTCTCTCGGCTGCCAGCGATGGGTGAGAATTTCCGACAACTGGACACTGCGAGGTGAGTGTGGGGGGATGGTCAGCAGCAACGATTATAAATGACATTGCTTCTGATTTGGTGGCTCTTCGACTTTGAATGAGCCTGCATTGCCCGGACAATTCTGGGGGCAATGTGTTCTGGGGCCTAGTCAGGGCTAGGGAGGGGTCAGGGCCCCGGAGCTGACACTCGAAATCGCAATGGGCTCCGATCCATGCGCAGAGTTTTCCAGGAACACTCTGGGCAGTTCTCCGGGCGTGACCCAGTAACTGAGGGAATTTATTTTCTCATTGAATCGTCTATTAATGAAAACATTTAAAAACACATCATAAAATAGTGCATCACATGGCGCGGGTCCCCAGCTCCCTTATGGAATTTCCCGCTAAAAGCAAACATAAACAACATTTCGAAAGTTCTTTCTGCCCTGCAGCTCCAACTGGAAGAACTGAAGGAAAAATGAGGCATCGAACCGTTTTCCAAGCCATAAACATAAGGAAAACAAATATTCAAGAGACCGGAATGGGCACGGGGATTTCAAAGCATTTCCACGCTGCGTGCCGCATCATGGAAAATGAAGCGTCGGCAGCCCAGGAATCTGGCCGGGGAGTTCGGATTCACAGAGTTATAAACTTTATAGGGAAATGCAAAATAGGGGCGCATCGAGTCCAGCCAGTGGAGTCCCTCGAGGGAGGTTAATAAAAGGCAAAACAGTGCATAAACAGCTTTTAGAGTCCCAGTTAGAGGACCACACATTGACAAATGCCAAGTTCGAATATGCATAATGCATTTTAATGCAGTTTTTACTGGATTGTAAACAACTGGCAGGTCCCGCCAGGGATGCGGCTGAGTGGGCTGAGCCCCTGCCTGCGTTGTTATTTTTGACGTTTTTGACATTAATGTTTTGTTGTTTCTCCGCCGCGGCTGCCACTGCTGTCTAAAGGGTCCCCGATTCGGATTCAGATGGGGCCGGGGTGGATGGGGCCGTCACTCCCACACACATGTTTTTTTTTATAAAAACAATGCAGCAACTCTTTTTTCCGAAGGTCTATAAATAGGCATCTGCGTAGATGAAGATATTTTTCGGCGCAGTGCCTGGTGCGTTGAGTAATTGTGCAGCAGGTGTCAAATGTCTGGGATCATCCGTCAGGATCGGACTCCGACTTGGGCAAGAGGAAATAGTCATTTTTCAACGAAAATATTAAAATTCGTGTTAAACTGCGCGTTTGTGGTCTTATAAAGGGGGGACTGGCCTCGTGCTTGATTAATGCCAGCCCACAGTGGGAAGAGCTGGGAAAAGCGACAACTTTGTCAAACACTTCATCAAACACCCATCTCGAATGCTCTCCTCCGGCTATTTATTCGAGTCCGCCGTGGGAGGGGCGGCGTTTATGTCGCCCTGGTGGCAGTTCCACTGATCTATGAGTGCTGTGTGCCAATAAATGTCTCCATAAATTCCACTACCAACATTCCGGGCGTCATAAATACACCTCTCGGTAGCACTGACTCGATTTTTAGAAACGTTCTCATTTAAATCTCGTTTTCGAAAACAAAGAGAGAGCCTAAATAAAAGCATCAACGGCGGTAACTTGACAATAATCAAGTCAAATTTTTCGTTTCCGTTTAATAAACAACATTGAGGGATCGAGGCAGGGGCCTGGTCTTCGTATTTGTTTGTGTTTCCTGCATGCAATTTATGCTGCAAGCTTTGAGACAGCCACGCACACTTAAACAGCATATATGAGGGATTTCCGGTGCGTGCGTCGCAGACGCTGCCACTGCCACTGCTGCTGTCGACGTCTCTGTCAACTGCGCCCCTAACGGCTGCCACAAGAGGGGGCAGCTAACTCGGACCTGGTTGAAGTCTTTTTTATAATCTTTAATACTAATAATTTATTTGGATATCCTTTGCTTTCTTGATATCTTAACTTTTTCCAGCAACAGAGGTTTTTCTTCCAAATATAAATAACATGGTTCTTCTACCAAACCACTTCGAATTCTCCGCCAGACTCGAACATCTCACATGTTATTACTTATTTATTTTTCACTGCGCTTCGTTGGGGAAATGGCAATTGTTCGTTACTTTCCGCGACGGGGCGGACATGCCCCTTCGCAGTAGAAACGCAAATGTTTGGTCTGAGTTGCATGCTCCTGAGTTATGCTGCCGTGGAGCGGCACCTGCCCCCTCTATCGCGAAGCCCCGTCTTCGGAATCAGAATTACCATCACGCACAGCCCTTCCAATTCAACTTATAATTGCTGCCTGCTTTCGCTATTTTTAAACGCAAACCAGCACCAGCACCAGCCAGCATCGAACTACATACATGCAAAGGATGAACTACGGCAGAAATATGAGCATTATTTTTGAAGCCTAGTTGCAGCAGGGCACGCGCTGCCCCCTCCCCTGGGCTGCTCCCCTTTTGGTGGCACATCTGTGTTTTTTGAGAGCAGCTGCCCCAGCATCCTCGTGTTCCCCCCTGGAGGGGTCTAGGCCGCTTTTTACGGCCAGCCCTTCCCTTCTTTGTGATATAAATTAGAATCAGGGGAGGCTGAAAAAACCAGACTCTAGGTTCTGGAGTCTAGACGGTTTTAAGCGGAAACCCAATCTGTGCTCTATTTTTGATGTCGAACAGTGTCTTTCATCTTTTCATTTTCCAAACACGTGCTGCAGACTGGGGATCGCAATGGAGAAGGAAACCTGAGTAGAATAGATCCATGTTGCAATTGCATCTAAATTGTAGAGTCTAAGACACTTGGAATTACTTCACAAAAAGTGTGCACACTTGAGGAACCCTTCCTTGTCCTTTTTTTATGATAGGCATTGTCTACATACTAAGTGCTGTCACTTTGAAGACCCGATATTAGATTGTTTCCTGCATAATGCGTTTCGGGGGTACTTTACGTAAACTACAGCTCACCACAGCAGAAGACCTCCATTTCGATGTTCTCCGTCTTCAGCAGCATCTTGTTGTTGCTTTTTCAGACACAGTTTGTTTTCATTATCCTCCGATTTTGGTTCGGAACCAACTTGATTTAACACTGACGGATCGTTCTATCGTTACTGTTCCACTGCTCACGCGCACCTCTGGGAGCGTCAACATGCCACAGTCCTTCAACTTGGACTGGACGGAGAGCTGGCTAAAGCTCGGGCCTCGACTTGGCTTTTACCGATCTGGCTGGACGTCAGGAATACCAATTAGCTATCTCTCTCCGGTTCTGGCTCTCTCTTCCTCTTTCTCTCTCTTTCGCTAGCCCCTTCTCTCTTTATTGCAGCCAAGATTATAAAACAATAAAAGTCAGCCGCGGCCGTTTTTGTTTTTGTACGTGCCCGTGACGTCCAATCAACGCGGTGCCCATTTTAATCAGTAGCCCCTGTAGTCAGTAGCCTCCCCTCCGGCAGACCATAAGCGGCGTTATGGCATTTTAAGCGATCAACAGATCAATTACTAAAAGCTTCTGCGCAACTCCTTTATGGCGAGTCCTAACAGTTATGAGTGGAATCAGCGAAGCTTGTAATGAAATTCTTATTTACGGCCATTTAAATGGCAGCAGAAGCAGCTCCAGACAAGGGCAGCGATGAAATAAAGAATCGTAATAAAATTAAATGGGGAATGTTTTCATTAATGTTTAGCGGAATAATATGGAAGGTTCGGAATAACCCCTAGGGAACTTGAGATCTAGCTAGCTCCTTTTGGCAGGTGAACGTTTAAGGAAAACCAACCTACCTCCAGAGTCTAGAGACTAGACTGATGCGTGAGCAAAATAAAAGAGTTTAAACCATCATTTCTTCGTATATTGTATTGTCCTTCCAAAATTATGGTAATGAACGGGTCCCAAATATTGGTAATGTTTATGAATGCAACAAGTGTTGGTCCCCCGATAGGATTTGGCTGTGCCTTGATCGGGCGATTGATATGCGCAGAGGCGGATAGACGCGAAGGAGCCCCGAGCCGGGGCCTAGGAGTGTATTGAACCCCAAGGAACGAGTGCCCCCTCCCCGAAATCTGATAAACAGATGTTCCGAGAACCGAACAGAGAAACAGCAACAAGAACCAGAAGTCTGCACGAGAAATATGCACAAACAGTGCATCGGAATGGCGAGCTTCTGACCTCAAATCACCTGCCGGGGAAAGACTAGCAGCTGGAACTCTTAGCTTTGATTGACTAGCCTGACTTGATGGAGTGGGCGAAAACAAATCGGGGAGGAAGTAAACTGCCAAAGTAAACAGTAAGTTCGGACTCCTCCCCGGACTTTGATGTATTCACGGGCTGCGTTGCCAATTTCCGAATACCAAGTGGAGTGCTGGATGCCAAATTTGGCCAATCGCCTGCCAGGCACGCGCCACATGCAAATGTGGCAAGTACTTCACCGATCGAGCACTGCCCTCCCAACTCCCCCTGTTCGCGCTTCCGTGCCATTAACACGTTTGAAGACCGAAGAAGCCTGCCCATCAATTATGCAAAGTTCCGTTTGCCCGTTTGCCAGTTCGGCCCATTGTAGCTACATATGTGCAGTTTTCCAATTTGAATTTTTATGCTTGTCATGATACCACACCCACTGATGCCCCTCCCGCTCCTTCTCCGGCCGATTCGTTTATTGACTCTTGTCATCGTCCCATCGACCATCCGCCATGTTGCCCGCAACATAATAACAAACTGCAACTGCAACAGCTATGGGTATTGATGCCATTTGGAAAACGGAAACGTGTGTTTCTCCGCTACTCCTCCTCGTGGCAGTCTTCCGATATGGCTTTGTTTTTACTTTGCCATAAGTTAGGTGCCAGAACTCACCCATTTGTTGTGGTAGTTGGGGGCTAATGGCATGGTTGCTATTCCACATCCTATTTGGTAGCGTTACCTAGTTACCCCATACAGAGAAAGACTCAATCTTTGCGCCCAAAGGAGAGACAGAATTTCAACCTCCCACCGCAGGTACTTATCATCATTATGATCAGAATTGTTTATGTCAGGTCCCTATCATCCATCACAACCCAGTGCTACGCCCCACTTTGAAACCTTGAAACTCGCTGATGAATCGTGCAAAGAGTCCTGAGCGGGTCGTAAACCATAAGACCTGACACTCTGCCGGAGACGTATCTGGCATGCGACTCCCCGCTTTGGGGGCATCCATCACTCGGGCGGACTTGACAGGAGGACTGTCAAGGCAAGGCCAGTCCAGGCCACAAACCGAGGCTCCCGTGCCAAGAGGCGAAAGCAATGCCAAAACAAAGGTGGCGCCATGCGGGCGACGATTGGCGGTTACAATTATCACTTGTGCAAACTTGGCTGGAGTTCTTAACTTGGCTCAGTACTTAAAAGAGGGAAAACAAGGGAGGGAGGGTCAGATCACCGGCGCCTATAGCCCAATATCAAGCCCGTCGTCCAATATTTGTGAAAAGTTTTGGGAGAATAGAAAGGGTTACCTACAAGTTCTATATTTTATCTACAAAAAGCCTCTATCATATGATACCTCGTAGACTAAATCAAATACCTTATGACAATATCTTTGCATTTTTATAAAAGATCTGTAGACTCACCTCTTCTACGGTGCGAATTTCCGCGGAATTTATTGGGGGAGAGCAGTGGCGGGCGGGGAGCCATCATGCTGGGCACCTCGTCCGGAGATCCCAGGGCCACGGAGCCGGAACTCTGCTGATGCTGGTGCTGGCCCGAGTTTCCAAAGGAATGGCGGCGTGCTGCGCCGCTGGGAAGCGTGTGATGTCGGTGGGATTTGCTGCTGGAGGGGAGGGAGAAAGTCAGCGATTAGCACATCAGCGGAAAGGGCGGAGCAAACTGTCAACAGCTGCATTGCATCCTGCCATCCATCCAGCTCACCTTGTTGGAGATGTCAGCGGATTGAAGACCTCGTCGTGGTCCCCGCCCCCGGGGCACTGGGAGCTGTGCGTCTCATTGCAGGAGCCCAGCCGTCCCCGGAAGCCGGAGTGCGAATTCGATGATCTCTGGCGGTACATGTGCATCGTCTGCATCTCGAACGAGTGCTGGAAAAATCGAAGCGGAAGAGGGCAGTGCATTAGAGGCTGTTTTCGCACAGGAAGCTGATAAGTCGGAACTGAAAATGCTCCATTAACTGCAGTACTCACTTGCGAAGAGCCGCCGAGCGAGTTAAAGCTGCCTCGCGGACTGCCAAAGGCCATGGTGGCCGTGGTGTCCAGATTGGCGGAAGTGATCAGTCGCATCTGTTCCGGATTGGCCAACGCCTGTGGTCGCGGACTGCTCCCGCCCTTGGAGTTGCGGCGCTTAAAGAGGGAGAAGCCCCGGCTCGAGGACTGCGAGTCGGGGGTGCGAGGCGACTTGGTCTCATTGCAGAAGTAATAGGGGTTATCTGGAATAGATCGGATTCCTCAATAGGGTATTGGAAGCCTGTTTGCAACAGTAACTTATATTTCTACACATTTCTATGTTGAATGTACAAGCTGACCTCTATATTGGCCCCCCAATCTTTACCTGAGAAGAAGAGGTTTGTATTAGTATTATCCATTGTCAAAAACATCCTCAGGTCTGCTGGTTCGGTTTGTGGTCTCTCACGGATGGGGTTTGCGATGCATTTGCACTTTCACTTGCAACACTAAGTCACTACTCGTAGTCAAACTCAAAAAACGTCTACTGAGGGTATCTACTACAAAAATAGATGTTGGGCGCGAAAAACAAATCCAAATCTCATTTAGAATTCAGGTGGCGGATCGGGTGAGCGTTTGGTTCTTGGCTTTCTGTGGTCACTTCACTTGGCTTCACTTCTTCGGAGCGGCGCGTGCGTTTGCATTCGCATCCCGAAACGGAATAAATTCTAAAACTTCATCGAGAATGAAACACTGCGCTCAGAACACTTGAGCACTTAGTGCTATGCCCTCTGCCACTGCCTCTGCCTATGCTTCTGCCTCGGCCTCTGCCTCTGCCGACGCCGCTGTCTGTGGCAGAGAATCCCTCTTCGGGGTTCAGTTCTGAATTTTATTTACCATGCGCTCGGTTCTTCATCCATTCCAGCAACGTGCAGAGTACACTGGGAGAACACTAGTACACTAGATGTTTTCCTATTGCGCAGCAACCAATAGACGCTACCCAGAGTCCCACAAAGTTTCAGAGTGGTTGAACCCACATCTTCTCTGTCATCTTCCACATAACTCATCACATATTGGTTTCAACTATTCTCTTCTCTGGTCGGTTCAGGAGGTCAAGGGACACCCCATTTTCTTCCTGTGTAGCAGCAGCACGAAAACAACAGCCCTCTCCCTCACACAGGTCCTATCTCCCTCGGCCTCTGCCCCGACAACAACACAGCCATACGGGATCAGTGTTCAAATATGGTTGCCATATTGCCAGCACTGCACCCACACAGCGGGGCTGGGCAGAACTCCCCATCAGGAAGCACCGGGAAAACTCGGCCCCGGGGAAACTCACTTTCCACGACACGGCTGTGTGCGCTGTTGTTGCTGGTGAGGTACCTGGCATGTTTTCTTCTGCGTGCGCTTTTCGCATGATCAAAATATTGTCGTTCCTGCCTCGGTCTGGGTCTCGGTCTTGGCCTCGGTCTCGCCAGTCTTTCAGTTTCTGGTTTTGACTGTCTTGGCCGTTTTGTACACCCGTGATTGGTTCCCATTCTTTCCCACCGCCAACTATCCTGAGTCTCCGTCCACTCGAGCCCCTCCGGCTCGTCGTGCATATCTGATGAGTCCCGCCGATGCCTGAATCTTGGGGTCGTGGCTTATAGTTCTCCTTACCCTCTTAGATTTGAGTTTGGTATCCCCACTATGGAGTACCACAGTAGGGAGTATGATATTCTCTCGTGTCTATCGTGCATACTTTCTGCAAAAATAAATATTTTTGTCCCCAATGATAGCCCGAAAATAACAGGCCATTATAGCAATATATATTCTCGGGAAATTAAGGGAACTGCAACTTGAGAGCATCAAAGGCCAGCAAACACATATAGAAACTCCCGAGGTAGGCACATTAAAATTACTGGCAGCGAAGGGGAACAATTGTGCGAAGAAAACACATTTATGGTTCGACCAGGGCCGCTGGAAGACTTAAGTGGCAAAATGTGGACTGCTTCGCGCTTCTCCAGAACGACTCCATGTGGTCTGCCCAGGGAACTCGTAAGTGGTCTGGGACTAGGAGCTGGTACTTGGTACTTGGCCAACACAGCCATACAGATGTCCGGCATATTTGAGACTCTGGAGGACTCGTAAAGCCAAACGAGGCCAGAATTGCACATTCGGGAGTCTATAACAGAGAGGGGCGAACCGATCCATTGCAAGGGATTCTGCATTCCTATCCATTAGAGGTATTCGAATTCATTCTCCATTAGAATAGAGTTTGTTTCTCTGGAACTAGTTGGGCGAAAATTTCTCGTTGCGCCCTCCTTTCGGGGGCTGAAGTGTCTTGAACAGCCCTCAGAGGCACTTGCAGCCGAGTACTTGGGGAAATGCACTCGTTGCACATAAATGTCAAACGCCTGTCTTCGCCGGAGCGCGTCACGTGCCCTCGGCTCTTGGCGAAATCGGGGTAGAGTAAGTTGGGTTCTCCCGGCAGTCGTAAATCTGTAGACGCCCCAACAAGCGCGTACGTAGTTCCTAGTTAGTTTCCTACTTCACGGGCCTATGTGGGGCAGGGGCACCTAGCTGGCTTTGTCGCTAGCTGGCTTGCCGGGGTGGGCGCCATTTGTGGCACTTTTGCCCATTGTTCTCCGGCGCTGACAGGTTAATTACTCTTGGAGCTGTCTTTGTCCAATTGTAGAATGTATCTTCTGGATACCAGGCTTAAACTTTGTCCTGAAGTTCGGATTGGGTTAATGTATGGACCCCCGAAGACTTTCGTACCTGATCCTCACTCGCAACATTTGTGACCATTATGAGAGCAAGAACCACTGTTATTGAAGGGTTGGCTATTTATTTATTATCTTAGTTCAAGTTTATTTCTCTGAGAAGGGCCGTTCTTGTTTTCCCGGACATATTCAGAGGAAATTCTTTACTCATGTTGTATGACGCAGCTCCGCCCGCTTCTTAGCCCCTGGAATCCACGCCATGGCTCACAAAATCCAAATCGTGTATGTGCGATACGAGTTTTCCTTCACGTTCAATTGAAATGTTTTGTTTATTATTTTCCAGTTTTTATGATTTAACCCCAACGGCAATGCTATGCGGAGGGAAACGTGGTGGGGCTGGGGCCAAAAATCAGGGGATGTCTGCCCGGAAGTCTCCCTACCAGTGGGATAGCGAGGGGGAGACAATTATTATTGTTTTAATAATTTCAGGCCCTCCCTTTTCAAGCAGGTGCTCGCGAGAGGTTCCTCACAACATTCAGTCGAAAAGCTGTGGGATTGTCGGATTAAAACACGAATAACTAATATCTGATGTAGTATCACTACATCATCTGGTCGCCTAGGTCTATAAAACCACTGGAGTCACAGGACAAGACAGGAGAGTGTTGTTTTAGGCCCATCCTACCCCAACCCCACATGAAAAATAAGTAACAAAAATCCATAAAATGAAGAGTTCCAACGGAAGTGAAGTGGTCTGAAAACTGAGAACGCGTTCTCAAGGGAAAATCTTGCAAAAAGAAGGATGCGCCCGAGGATTAGTGATTTAAATTCAAAAATATTCCTAGTCCGGCACGTGGACTCCATGCTAATACCCACTCGAAAAATCCGCAGCGGAAATGCCCAGACAAAAGGGACATTACCAAAACACTCTCGCACCCACAAAGGGACAACTGCAGGAGAAAGGCCCTGCAGGAGATGTGACCCGAAAGCGAAAGCAGGGAGAAAGGGGAAGTGCCTACCTGCGGACGGAGAAACGGGCTACTGAAGGGCTAATGGGACGAGCTACGAGAGGTGTCTGGGACACAATCAAAAATCGAATAAACACTTTTATTGCCTCGATTTTATGGACGACCATGTTTTGTGTCGTGTTTTTGTCGCGGCTGCGGTTGACAAGATCGAGATGCCGGGGCGGGGCCGATCGTTAACCCATAGTTGCCAAAATCAAAGTCCTATTTATAGGCCCTGCTCGGAAGGTGTTTGGAAATGCATAAAATGCGATCGACGCTCATAAATACTCTGCGAGCGCTACAACAGCAATCGCCACATCTGTTCAACAGATTTCAACTCGATGTCAGGACTCGCCGGTCTCCGAACATCATCTCCGGCTTTGAGGGACGCCAAATGTTTAATTATTTTCTTAATGGAAACTAGCTGCGAGCACATGACAACGAAGTCTTCCGTAAAGTAAAAAGCAGGCAGCTTAAGTCAAAAAAATTCCCTTGCAGCCTCTCATGTGCCGTCGTCTTCATCCCTGCTCCCCTGTCGAGCACGTGTCTTTGCAGTTTTTTATGGACTCCACATACTCCCAGGAAAAGGAGCGAAGGCACAGTTGCTCCGTGCCATCCGTGTTCGGGGAACGGTCCTCCACTGAGATCACATGAGGGGGAGTTCTGTGGACACCGAGTTGTGGCAGTGGACTTGCCACAGGTTGATGTTAAATGTCAATTGGCATACCCCTGAGGATCGGCATTCCATTCACTATCAATGCCCTCGATCCATTTTGACTTTCCATGTTTTAGGGGCTCTCCGATGACGTTTATAATGGGGCTGTTGATCTTGTAACGCCCTGATATTGAGACCCAGGCCTGGATTTTGATTTATTCCGCTGTGACTGCATTTGTAACCGGAGATGCCGATGGGACTACGACACTCAGCTGAATATTGATGAATGTTAGCTAGAACTATTTGGAAACCACACGGACCTATGGGAGGACAAATCTAGCTACTAGTTCTATTCTATAGAATATAAAGCAACGTAGTGACTATTTTTCATTAGATTAATTTATTTACAAACACAACCCACGCTGTTTGCACGGAGTTGCAGTCTCGACACGCATCTTCGAATTTGCCTCACGGCATTTGAAGAGCACTTGAACATCCTCCAAGACCCTTCCCTATTCTTTGTGACACAACTCCCACACTGCCTGGGGTGATTATGAGGTATGTAATTAAAATTTCTACGCTCCTGCCTCCGTCCACGTAATCCAATTATAAAGAATCATTTGCATCGGAGTAATGTCTGCCGACAACTAGTGTTCCCGAGGTATTTTTAGGCCAGAATTGTCTGGATGCATTAGACCTCGCCGGCAGAGTGATTCGCGGAAGAAATCGAGCCGCTAAATGATCGACGACAGTACACCCGATAACCACAATTAAGCACATGACATGGGAATTTGCGTACACGATTCGTGAATAATATATTCGGCAGAGTCCCTCTGACGTCTTGTCTGGCAATGAGACACACTGAGGAGCACTCGATGCTCGATTGGCGATCCGCCAGCCGGGATGCACGCACAAAAACACAAAAGAGAGATCTCAGACCTCAGACCCCAGACAAGTGAAAATTAATTTACGCAAATATTTGCGGAAGGAATTCCAGGTGCGCCTGCTTCACAACGCAACCAGGTATCGGGCAAGTGACTCATTAGCATTGCAGTTTTGTGCACGAATCGTTAATTACTTGTATCAGGGTCGGTGGCTAAGCACTTTGTATTCCTCCAAAGCAGCCTCCCTCTATTGGATAATAAATAAGAAGCGTTAGCTAACTCATTCCAAGCCGATTCAAATGGCATTGCTACTCCAATGATCACTCCCGTTGAGTGCAATTAAAATGCGCCAGTGGCGAGCCAGCGGATGAATGAATGGATGAAATTCAATGCAGATTTAATGAATGATTTACAGAGACAGCGGAGACGAAACTATTTATAAGCACGCTCCTGGATGCGGGCCTCGAGAGGAACCCGAGGGAGCGGGCACTTCTATCTGCGCTTTTTGTGAGGCTGGGAGTTGTTTTGTGTTTTAATTGCGCCATTTCCCATATCAGCTGCCTGATTATTTGTTCTAGTCGGGCAGCCATAAATAAAAATAACAAAAAGGACAGCTGGACATGGAGCACGAAGTCGAGGGGGGCGTCGGACCCCATCTCTGAATGTGACTAATTATGGGCCGCCCTGACTGGGTGCCCGACATTTGATTTGTTATTTACCATCTCTCCATTATGATTATAGACACAATTGACGGGTGACCCAGCCACCGCTGGCGATATCTAATGGATGCAGACATACGAGTGCCTACTTACTCCGGGTGAGGCCGGGCCCTGGGAAAACACTTCGCACTCTGCCGTTTAGGTGGGCAGACTAACTAAGTCCCGGTACATGATCTTGGCCCCGCCCGACTTCGGACCTGGGACTTGGGAATCGCGGCTCGGATGGCTCCAAGCCTTAAGTGGATTGCTCCAGTTGTCGAGCCCCCGGACTAATCGCTCGTTTGATGAATGCGTTGGCGTTCTGGGAAATTGCCAATGGGTTGTTTGTGTGCACTCGGGGCCTTGCATGGGCTGGGTTCACGTTTACGGCGTATTTTCGTGGGCCGACCCGACTCATTAGGAGTGCCACCGAGGAGGCGGGAGAGTGTCAACTCCTTCGACGGACTCACAGCCCAATGTTGGGCCTAGTTTGGTGTCAAGTATTCCCGGGGCGTGATCGAGCCGATCATGTTTGTGTCATGTTTCTGCAGTCCCTACAAGAAACCTTCCCAATGGCAACTCGTATTTACTTTAATGGTTTTTAAGTTCCTAGTACCAAACATCCCATATTTTTATGATTTTTTATAAAATTATAATCGTAACGATATGACTCCTACGGCTCTGTTGACATTTGTGGACAATTAAAGTTTATGATTTGTGTTGTACTCACCCATATGCATGTTTCCTTCGAAGAACGGCTGAAATAAGTCTTTGGGTGGCTCGCTCGATTAGGCTGGCAGTGATTTGAATTACGATTGGAGGCAGGTCCCTTCACCTGCTGGGCTTGCACTTGTTACGGCTCTTTAAGGTGCTTCCGGCGGATACGTCAAAGTTTTGGACACAATAGGTGTATAGGAAACAGACCTGCGAGCCATAGAAAACGGGTAGGGGCACACAACAATTAATATTAAAAAACTTATTTAATTAAATATGCGCATGACAAAGCACGAACATAATAATGAGTGGGCGGGGGATCAAATCTACCAACAGAGAGTGGAGACACAATCTAACGGTTGGGAGCCCGCTGGATGTTTCCCAGCGGAAGCATATGCTCTTCCCATTTCCCCCAAAAGCAGCGCCCGGAAATGCAGACCTGCCACTTTTTAATAGCTTTTTAGATGCACCAGAAGAGTTTCCCAACTTCCTTTCGGCCCAGTTTAAAGTGCGACAGCCCGACCACAATTAGTCCATCAAATTATCAAGTACAAGGGCCATAAACCGATAAGCAGCTATGTACATGGTAGCCCTAGATGGCTGTCCCGCTTCTGGCTTGGCCCGAGCTGCCAGAGATATTTTTATTGGCATATTTCTCATTCATAAGTCAATTCACATTCACGCTGCAGGCATTGATTTCAATTCTGATTTGGTGCGAGAAACTCGAAAGGCCCCCGCCCCTTTGATTAACTTCGCAAGCGCTGGCATCAGTACATCAACACTCGCCCATTTTACGTAGTACGCTGGAGCGTGTGTTCGATTCGAATTTGTGTCGAAACCTTGATGAAAAAGTTTTGATTTTACGGCCTGGCAAATGTATTAAAGAACGCTCGGCTGCTACCCTTGGCTTCCCGCGAACGAATTTGAATTTCGAATTTCAATTACGCAACTGAGACGCGTTGATCAACAGGCATTCCTTATTTGTATTTTCTTCCACAGAATATTTAGAAACATGTATTAACTCCCACATGAAGCGAAGGTGGAATTTGAAAGATCTATGGGGATAATTCTATCTCGGTAATATGTCATTAAAGCTCTCTGAGGGAGAGTAGAATCGAAGACTGAAAAGCAATTAAAGCTGGCGGACACGAGGGTTCGGAGTCGAGGATGGGATTGGGGCAGCTTCTGTGCTGCCTTCATTTAAGACGATTATTTCATTTAAGATGGTGACATTCATTTGCATATCATTGTGTTCGTATGTATGTATGTACTTTATCCGCGACCCACGACCCCCGGCAGCCCTCCATCCTCTCCATCGCTCGGGAGAGCCCGTGTATGTGTTTTCGGCTTGATTGCTACGATTTTCATTACGTTTTACCGGATATTCCAATTTAGGTAAATGCGTCGTTGCCAGCGGGGAAAGCAAAAGCATCACTGCCGAACGGCCTGAGCACGAAGCGGGATTAATGTGTCCGTGGCGACATCCATCAGCGGCCAGCACACATCCCAAAACCACAGCCTTCAGCGGAGCATGGCCATCCGCCAAGACAGCTGGCGTGCAGAGTCCCCAAGCCTGCATTTCAGCCTTGAAAGTTGTATTTTCAAAACGCGCATTGGATTGTGTGATGTTAAAATAATAGGAAATCGAAATGCCAGGCTTCGAATGAGAACCGATTCAAAAACTAACCTTGGGTGGTCGGCAGATCCTTAATGGCCAACCTATAAGGCTTGCTGCTCAAATCTTAATGTCTTGATTGCACTGCCGACTTTCTGCAAACGGCTCACTTATCCGGGGGCCGAATGACACTTCCCGCGCAATCGAAGCCAGATCGAATTATTCAAGCGGTTTGAGAGATTAACGATGTGCCTGCGGCAGTTTACAAGATCATTTGTGCGCCGCCCCGTCCAAAACTTTTGCAATTGACCGCCTCCCGAAACGAAATGCCATCAAATAAATCAATTGAAGCACTCGACGCGCGCGTCGGGCTCTGAGAATTTGTCAAACAGCCAATAAAGCGAACGAAAAATTAAGTTATTCAAAAACTGAAATGGCTGGCATCGAAGCCAATAAAACTTACAGTAAATAGCCGCGGCCGAAAACAAATGCTTCGGGCCAACGGCAGTCGGGAGAGTGGGGCCAATTTATTTGCGCAACAAAAAGATCGCTTGTAAACAATTGGAATAATTTGCTGGACGGCCAAAGTAGAAAATATCAATTGGAAGAGAGCGGGCTCTGAGAGTCGAGCTAAGAGAAAGCCCACAATGGGGCCACTGTATAAAACAAGCCGAAGCTTGCATACCCTTTCTAATACAAGTACTTAATTGATGCACCAAAATGCCTCTCATGTACCCCAAAACTAGCCTTTGGTATATAATACCTTTGGCTTGAATGGCTTTGCAAAGGGTATACAAAGAGAAGTCATCTGTTCGACAAATTTCCCTAAATCTACATACATACACTCACAATTTCAGAAACTAGAACAAGTTGCAGGGGACCAGAGCAGCCACGAACAATGTAGCACAGCAAACAGCTGGCCGAGAGTGGGCATCACGCATACGCAATGTTGTACCGTGAAAACATTTTCATTCCACCCACACGACCACTGCATTTTTAGCCGGAAAATATGTTTGGTATTGAACAAGTCATTTCGCCTAAAATAAAATTAGTCATGCTTGTTTTTGTTAAGTACAGTGTTGGACATAAGTGTAAAACTTATTACCAGAACCTCTAGTAACATTTATTTTTATCAAATACTCATGAATGGATTTAGCTGCAAAGGCTTAAATAAAACCAAATTTATCCCAGTGTCTTGTTGCCTTATTATTGTACAAATTCAGAACGCACTGTATTCGCAAAATTCCCAAGAATACTGTGTGCTGTCTGCCTTCTGATGGATTTCACTCAGACGAATACTCCCGATGGCCGTTGTCGGTTCGCAATTCCCCTCTTTTGCGAAATTTTTCACATTCGCTTTGGGTATTTTGCATTCCGCTTATCGCGATAAGCCAAGCGAGCGAATTTGTGCCAAAAAATATGCACGATATGTGGGGGCACTTGCCAGTGGCTCGGAGCCCGCCGCCTCGGCGGTGCCACGCACGTTCCACCAACTTCGCTTTTGGCCACTTACAGCACGTAACTGCAAGCCCGATGACAAGTGCATAAAAACCTCGGGAGATCGTTAAATTGATGAATTTTATAGGCCTCTTCGGACACACCAATAAATATGGCCGACAATTGAAATTTAGTTCAATTGTCGGCGGCGTATTCCTCACAACCTGATATCGCATTTTTCGAAAGCGGTTTTCTAAAACATGTGTTTTTCAGGTGTTGGCGGGCCCTCAAATAAATGGCATTTTCATTGCTAAAATTTGAAAAAATTTATTGCGATATGCGGTGAAAATTGGGGTCAGAGAAAGTTAGGAAAATGTAGGTCATCTGTCAGTTTATTAAAGGACTGCCAAGCGCCCTTTGCCCAGGAGGGGTTTTCGGGATAAATGCTAAGACGCTTCAAAAGCTTATATGGAGGGAAAACTAAACCAGGCAAGTGCCATAAAACAAACTCTATGTACCATCAATTACCAGACAGGCCGCGAGGTATTTCAAGTGTGTATCTGTATCTGTGCTGGGTATCTGTGGGGGAGTGTGGCGCGGAATATTAATTTAAGTTTCGAGCTTTGATTTCTTCCCAAAAGGGGAGCTGGGCGGCGGGCAGACAAGTGTTTTGCGTTGTAAAAACATGCGAAAGCGAAAACCAGCTGCTTGATAATAACGATCCGAACATGGCGAGAAAATGTGAGCAAGTCCCGAATACTACCATGTAAAGGCCTGAAAGTCTGTATAATCGTGAATGATATTCCAGATCCCCATCATATGGGAGCCCATGATCTGTATCCGAGTTTTCTCTCTGTGGATGGAACAGAAGCGATGAAATTCAAATGCGAATTAAACGCATTCCAGAGAGGAGCAGGCATGCAAAGCGCGTAGCGCAAAGATCAGCGAAGAGATTAAAGGGGTCGACGCGGGTCGAGGGGGGTTGCATAAATGGCAGCCTTTGCAACAGCTCTGGGCATTATGCATTTGGCGCTGCTGGGGTGTGAGCGGAGGCCCTTTTGCATTTAAGACACGCATCTTGCGTATTTCGCCTTGATGTTGATCGACAGTTTGACGTTTTATGTCGTCGCCGTCTGTCAGGAGATTGCTTTCCCATTTTACGTGTCTCTGCCTGGTTTTATCTTTCCAAAACTCACCACTGGGCCCTCTAGATGGCGGCCGACTGATCGTGCAGATCCATTCTGGAATTGTTTGGAATTGTTGACTGTTTTTGGAGCACACAAGCCAAGGCACACACAGCGGGAACCACAACACGAAATGTGGAAATTCTAGTCACGGCCGCTTTTCCAAACTTTTCTGCTCGGCACTCGCGGTAAATACCCGTATGTCGGGCGCTATATAGCCAACCGATCTGGTCCGATCCCAACCGATCCGCGTCCGTACGAAACAAAAATTAAATAGCTGCCGCTCGGCCGCCTTGTTTGCTCGGACTGGCCACAAAAACAAAGTACGCAAAGTCGAATTTCATTTGCTGAACTGAAGAGCGTGGCACTGTGGCTCGATGCACCATAAAAGTTTTTAAAAACGAAACTTTTTCAAAAGATATATGGACAATATTTCATTTAGTTTTAATCATAAATTTATTAATCAATTAGTTTTAAAACCCTTCTCTATTCAAAAACAAATTTAACTACCTTTAAACTTGAGATGGGTTAAGGGGTTATATACCTTCTTTGTCGAAGAAAATGAGCAAAGTTCGGATTTTTTTTTAGGTATGAAGCAATTATTTAATTACACGGATGTTTTAATTTTTTGATAGTACACTTTATTAACAATGTTTGTGCAAAATTTGGTGGAAAAATATTAAATAGTTTTTAAGGGGTGGCTGTTTCTCTTAGAGGCCTTTATTTTTTAGAGCCTTGCGGTGACAGTTCCCCAGGTCAAACAGGTCAACTTAAACCATAAAAATAAAAATATTTCATTAGTTTAGAGTAATCTCTTGTGCTTGAACGATCGATTTTAAAATTTTTTGTTTTTGTTTGGATATGACAGCGTTTTATGCTAAAAATGAACGTTTTGGTCTCTAGAAATTTCACTTAAAAATTATTTCGCCGAAAAAAAAGTTTGCGCGTGAAAAGTCGATCGTTCAAGCACAAGAGAATTTCATTACGAACATTTTAAAAAAAATTTGAAGTAAATCGGTTCAGTAGTTTTCCGCCAATCCATGTCACCGCAAAGTCATTTTTCAAGAAACACCATTTCGAGATATTCGCGTTTAAAGTTTCAAGTTCAGTTCAAGGCCGAAACGAGGCGTGCGATTAGGAGCGCTGTAACTTTTTTTCTACTGCTCCAATCTCTATGAAAATTTGGGAGAATGTTCTCAAGGAGTTGTTCTTCAAGATAAACCACTAAAAAAATTTTCGTTTTTTTTTAAATAAAAAAAAGTATATAACCCCTTAATTGAACCGTTCTAACTGTTTTTGAAAACACCAGCGTTTTTAGAAGTGTCTTTAGAAGAAGTATGTCAAATTTAGAAATATGGAAATATTTTAAAGCTATTTTTCTTCAGAAAACGCTCCACTGTGCGACGAGAGAGGAAACAGAGCGGTTCGGATCCATAGCAATATAAATAAAAGCAGAGCAAAAGCCAAACAACAACAAGGGCGCCATGGGAGTGGATACTCAGATACATTGCTTTGGCGCTTGTTTGTATTTTCTCTTGCGGCGAAAGAGAAAGCCGAGAGAAAGAGCCGGAAAAGCTCAAACAAAAGAATCGCCAGGACGGGAATGCATTCTTCCAGTGAAGAATATTTTAACACCAAATACTTATGTATCTAGTTACGCCTCGCGTAAGATAGTTTTAATCAAATCATTGACATAATATTTATTTAAAAAACCCAAAACTTGTCTTTTTCTCCGGCACTTTGTTATTTAAAAAATGTCAAAACACCTGTGCAAATTTTGAAATCGGCCTGTCTCTGTCATATCACTATTATTTGGCTTAAAAGATTGAGGCTTAGCCACATTTTGCCAGTACTCTGTCGAGTTCATATCCAAGATGGTGTATCTTAAACCATTCGTTCTGTCGCTGGCCCTGTTATACTTCCTGGTTGGAGCTCTAGCCGTCACTTGCGATGTGGCACCGACGGATCCCACGTGCGTTAATTGCTATTCAACTCCCACGCATCCTGAGTGCTTCGTCAGGTTTTTGACGCCTACAACAGCTGCTCCGCTTTCCGTGACCACCACTCGCAGATCCCGAATCAGAAGGATTCGTAGCTATTTTGGAAACATCTTTAGGCGTTTCAACAAAAATTGGTTTTAAATAAAAGCTTCAAGCCTATAGTTGTCACATTTGTACATCGTGTTATTGCTCGTTGTTTATTGGTTATTTTGGGGTCCTAAGTAGGACTAAATATGGAAGCTGCCTAAGTTTCAAGTCCTTTAAGTTTAAGAAAAGTCTTTTCAATGATGGTTAGGCAACGTTTCTTTATTATTTAAATTTGTCAGTATACATGTCTGGCCTAGCCTAGCCGGTCTTACGAAGAACCCTGACCTTCCTGGTGACTGAAAAGTTCAAATTTTTGATGGTGAACTTCTTCTTTTTCCCGCCATTTTTAGTCGTGGGAGCTGCAGTGGTTGCGGGTGTGTTTGGAGCCGCGGTAGTTGTGGTGGTGGTGGTAGTAGTAGTAGTTGTTGTAGTTGTAGTTGTGGTGCACTCTTCATTGTCGGTCGCTGTGCTACAGTCTACGCAATCTGGGTTCGAAGGATCGGCTTCACAGGTGACTGCCAAAGTGCTCCCCAAGTAGCAGAAGAGAGCCAGGAATAGAACAAGATACTTCGGCGCCGGCATTCTGTACTGAATTGTATTGCTCCTTAGATGCTTAAATTTATAATTGATTGGGCTTATAAGCTATCAAGAGGCGTATTTATAGGGATTTGAGTTAGAGGAAAAAATTCGGTTTGTTATATCAGTTGCGAACATTTTCGCAAGTGAATAATTGGCAATAGATTGGCAATTGTGTACTTTTGTTTGTTGAATCAAAATATTTGGGCATTATTCTTCTTCAAACATATCCAGATGTTCCTAAACCGTTTGATAAAAAAACCGTTTTACGGCAAATAAAGGAATCAATAAAGCCAGTTTGTCGATCAAACATAAGGGTCTGTGAGAACATTTATGATCTTTTATAACCTTGCTAGACCTTGGAAAAATGGACAAAAAAACTGAAAAATATTTTTCCCAGGATTTTGATGCAGAATGGTGGAGAATCGATCTAGAAATCGTTTGAGGGACTCCGCTTGAGAATCGGATGAGAAATAGGGAAGATATAGCCATCGCAGTGGGCCCTATAGGGGAAAACCTCATTTTCAAGGGATCCCATCAGGAAAAATGGGCAAAATATTTAAAAAATATTTTGTATCAGGATTTTGATGCAGAGTGGTGGCGAATCGATCCAGAAATCGTTTAAGGTACTCCGTTTGAGAATCGGATGAGAATTGGGAAAGATATAGCCATCGCTGTGGACCCTATTGGGGAAAACCCCATTTTCAAGGGATCCCATCAGGAAAAATGGACAAAAAATTTAAAAAATATTTTGTATCAGGATTTTGATGCAGAATGGTGGCGAATCGATCCAGAAATCGTTTAAGGTACTCCGCTCGAGAATCGGATGAGAATTGGGAAAGATATAGCCATCGCTGTGGACCCTATAGGGGAAAACGCCATTTTCAAGGGATCCCATAAGGAAAAATGGGCAAAATATTTAAAAAATATTTTGTATCAGGATTTTGATGCAGAGTGGTGGCGAATCGATCCAGAAATCGTTTAAGGTACTCCGTTTGAGAATCGGATGAGAATTGGGAAAGATATAGCCATCGCTGTGGACCCTATTGGGGAAAACCCCATTTTCAAGGGATCCCATCAGGAAAAATGGGCAAAAAATTTAAAAAATATTTTGTATCAGGATTTTGATGCAGAATGGTGGCGAATCGATCCAGAAATCGTTAAAGGTACTCCGCTTGGGAATCGGATGAGAATTGGGGAAGATATAGCCATCGAAGTCAGTTTTCCGTTTTTGTTTTAATACTATTTAAGAAATAACAGAGTGGCGATTTAAATTTTCTTTCTTGATGGTGAAGTAACCGCCAATTTTCCAACACTAATTGCCGTTAACGGGGAAACATTTAGGCCGATGTGGCAACCATTTCTGCCACCATGGTGAATAGCAACACAGGAAAGAACAAGAACAAGAAAAAGCAATGGCAATTCCTCTTTCTCCGGTCGTTCGTGGGCATTTTGCGAGAAAACTTTTCGCCGCATTTAAAAACGGAGGCATCAAAGCATGCGAAACGCGTAAAAGCTGGATTTAAGGTAAAAAAAACATCGACTTGAGCGTGCGGCTTCTAAAAACCTATTTAACCTCAAAGTGCCACCGCACAATCCATTCGAAACATTTAAAATAAAACCAAAATCCGCCTGGCTGTGCCAGAATTTCGGGCGTGTGATGTGTGATGTAATCTCGGCTGGGCGCAATGACGTTTGCCGTCTGCCGATTTTTCAGCCGAATACCGACTTTTGAGGGGTTTGTTTACGTTTGCGCCCAGCTTCGAGTCTGGAATATAAATAAAAACGCCGACTTAACCTCATTTACGCTCAAATTGGTGTTTATAAGTTGGAATATTTTGCTGCGAAAAAGCTTAGTCGCGGACAAAGGGCGCCCTATGGACCAGATGCGTGCGAGCGAGCGAGACGAATAGTGTGACCGATAGTTTCTTGTCTGTGGTGCGGCCTTCTCAAGCTAAAATAAATTAGTTATACTTCTGCTTTTTGGAATATAAAACATATAAGCTTACTACTTTCATAAATTAAAAAACCAAAAAATTAATTATTCTTAGAGTCATTCTTGGCGAAAAACTTGTCCCTTCATGCCTAATGAATCTTTCAAATGAATTTAAAATTCTTCGCAGAGCTGCCACCTTTTAAGAACAAAACTTTATTTTTGGAAAAACTTGCGAAAAAATTGCATTTGGTTTTGAATGTTTTGTTTATTATTGTTATTGGGGTGAGCAGTCGCCGATTGTTTAGTTTAAGTATATTTTTCTTAAAAATCTGGCAACGCTTTTCAGCGCTCCCTCTCCCTTGGTCTTGGCAGAGCACATGTCCCAACAATTGTTGCTCGCTCGCCGAATGAATTTTCTGCAAAATGTTTTATTAAGGCGTATCCAGGAGTTAACATATCGATTTTGTAGGGACCGCGAGTTATGAACAACCAGGGCTATGGCGGCATCCAGTGGATTCAGCACTCCACCGCGCCGGACGTTTGTGAGGTGGAAGTCCTAGAGAACGGAGCCGAGATGGCCGTTCAAGAGGCGGCGTCGGCGTTTGTCGACGATGGTGGCGAGGAGGATGCGGAGGAGGACCTGGACCATATGGCTGCCGAAAACCTCATCTTCATGGCTCGCGAAGGCCAGCTCAGCGAGATCATAGCCGCCAACGAGGCTGGTGGGGCCGTTCTGGTCACCTCCGATGGCACGACCGTGGCCTACGCAGGGGCCTTCGACGACGACGCCCAGGTGGTCACCGAGGAGGTCATCACAGACGACTGGGTGCAGCACCAGGGGGCCGAACGGTGAGTCTATATACATATAAGCCGGAAGATTGCAGAAATGGTTACACTCCACTCCCTTCCTTTTAGCGTGGAAATCGCCGCAGAGCAGATAGCTGGAATAAGTAGCTCGCAGGAGCTGCTGGACATGGAACAGGACGAGTATACCGCCCTCCGGCCATATCCCTGCGACTTCTGCAGCCGCCGCTTCAGAAAGAAGGCCAGCTTGAACAATCACATGCTGGCGCACCAGAACGACAGGCCACACCTTTGCAAACTTTGTGGGGCTCGATTCACGCGGCGCGCGGAGCTAATCAGCCACTTCAAGGCCCACGCCGAGGCCCAAGATGCGGCTGATGCTGAGGCGGCAGCAGCAGCAGCAGCGGCGGCAGCGGCAGCCGTGCCAGCTTCTTCCATCAAATTCGAGTACCAGACCCAACGGCAGTTGGATGACCACTTTTACGAGCAGGAGTGGTCGCTCGGCCATCAGGATCAGGGTCCAGTTCGACATGATCAGCACAATCATTCGGAGCAGCAACTTATCTCCAGCAACGACTTGACGGATGCCTATCCGTCCGTGGCACCTCCAGTGGCTCCTGCGCGCGGCAGGATCAGCAGGCTGAAACCCAAGGAGGAGAGCAGCCAGTTCATCATGATGGCCGAGGGACAGTCGAGTCCCTACTTGGGCTGTGACCAGGAGCAACCAAAGGCCTCCGCCCAATCCGGTACTTCAGAACCTCCGCCTCAGCCCAACTATCCCATTCTGGACGATAAGAAGCCGTTCGTGTGTCAGCAGTGTGGTCTGGCCTTCGCCCGTGAAAAGGCGCTGGTGTCGCATACGAAGGTAGGGGTTAAACTTTGGTACAGCGTTTTATCCGGATCATGCTCAAATTGGACTTTGTCTTTCAGAACCACCGCATGGACTCGCCGTTCGAGTGCAACCAGTGTCAGGAGATGTTCTGGGACAACAGCAGCCTGCAGGAGCACCTCAAGACTCACCAGTTCGAAGAGAGCAACTCGGAGTACGACCCCGCCTCTGCGGAGGACTCGGCCAGTGAATCGGAGCCGGAGGAGCAGCTGTATGGCGACTTTTACTGTGCCGAGTGCGGCATTTCGTTCCATCGCCAGGACCTGTTGCGGCGTCACACGAAGCAACACACAAAGCAGCCCGAAACACCGGCTGGAGAGAGGAACACTACCGTCGCTGCTGCTGGGGAAGTGGATGCCAAAGAGACAAGCGGGGGAGGTAACAGCTGCCACACCTGCGGCAAATCTTTTCCCACTGCCCTGGAGATGCTCGCCCACGCTGAGATCCACTCGCGGTTCCCACCCTTCAAGTATGTACTATCAGCCAAGGCACTACCTCCTCAGATCCTAATCCGCTCACTCTTGAATTTCAGGTGCGTCCTTTGCGGTAGCAGCTTTTACGAGGAGCAGGCCATCAAGCGACACCTTCACACCCGCCACCCCAACGAGCTGAAGGCCAACTCGTGTGTTTTGTGCGGCAAGGAGTGCCGCGACCGGAAGGCCTTGATCAAGCACGCCTGGGACCATTCCCGCGAGAAGTGCCACTCTTGCTCGAAGTGCGGCAAGAACTTCCACAACAAGGCGCGCTTGAAGCGACACATGGCGTCGCACCGCGACAAGTCTGTGGTGTGTGAGGTGTGCCAAGAAGAGTTCCCGGACGGGCGCACCCTCTCCAACCACCGTCACTCCCATAGCACCACCTCGCCGGGCAAGCTCTTCCCTTGCCACGAGTGCGGCAAGACGTTCGGGTCGCGCAGCTCGCAGCAGATCCATGTGCGAATACACACGGGGGAAAGACCCTACGGATGTCGCTACTGCTGGAAGGCCTTCGCCGATGGTGGAACTCTGCGAAAGCACGAACGGATCCACACTGGCGAGAAGCCGTACGCTTGCTCGGTCTGCCCGCGAGCCTTCAACCAGCGGGTGGTGCTGCGCGAACACATTCGCTCGCACCACTCGGGCCTGGACGTGGCTCGAAACACGTACCACTGCACTGTCTGCTCCGAGGACTTTCCCTCGTCTAACGACCTCATCCAGCATCTTATTCAGCACAGCGACTCGAACACTGCCAAGCAGCGACAGCCAATCGTAAGTACCCATCATCTTCATATTTGCATTTGGTTGTAAGCCTCCTTACTCCCCTTCTAGACCGGACCTCGTAAGTACAAGAGGCGCCGCAAGCTTCAGCCGCACGAAATCGTTCAAATGCGGGCGGAGAGCAAGGAAGCCAATGGCGAGGAGGAAGCCCTGGGTGAGGCGGATCGCGATGGCGAGGAGGATGACTACGCCAGTGACATTGACATCTGCGACTTCGACGTAGGCGATGTGGGCGATGTGGACGAACTATTCGACATAGCCGAGTCCCCCAAGAAGGAGAAGCGCAAGCGCACATCGACAAAAGCAGTTTCTAAGCACAATGTTTCAAACGGAGGTGCGGGCACAACAGGAGGAGATGGCTCGGCAAAGCCGACTCAGTCTAAGGATAACACAAAGCTGCGATACGATTCCACAAGCAGTCAGCAGTCGGACCGCATCTGGGAGGAGAAGTTCTTGCAAGACCATCAAGCTCCGCTCTTCCAGATAGATTCGTTGGTGGTGGTCAACGACACTCCGCTTCAGCCCGCCAGTTCCAAAGAATCTACAGCGGTGCCCAAAACCAGAGCTGCAGCGAAGCTACTCTCCAAGCCGGCGGAAGCCTCGACCAGCACGACTTCGACTTCGTACTCTTCGACCACATCTGTGAGTCGTGGCAGAAAGAAACCGACTAACAAGACCTCAAGCAAGGCACCATCCGCCGTCAGCAGTTCCTCACGCCCCCGTATGATTCACACGGAGAGGGCCAAGGTCACAAAGACGGCGGTAGGCTCTGAATCCTCCTCCAAGAAAACGCGCTCCAAGGTGTACGTCACGCGCACAGAGACTGCCAGCAACATGAGTGCGCTCGAAAAGTCCCGCATTGTGGACGACTACGAGATCATCTCTCCGGCCACCCAGCCGCCCAATCAAATCAGCTCCAGTCCCCTGCACATCAAGCAGGAGCAGGAGCACCAGCAGCAGAGGGTGCAGCTGATGTACGACGACAACCTTCTGATTGACGCCGCTCTGCTGCGGGAGAAGACCTACGAGAAGTTCAACCCCAGCATCGTGAACGATCTGGAGGAGATTCTGCGCTCGCCGCTGAAACACGACCGTAGCTCCCGTCTGCGCTTTACCAGCGAATCCTCGACTACGCCGCAGTTCCTGCCTGAGGAGGAGCAAAACCTGATCAAAATCGAGCCCACCTCGCCGGACCTGCGGGAAATGGTGGAGAGTCAGCAGAGAGTCACTTCATCATCCTCCTCGTCAGCCAGAACCTCACGGCACTTGCGTCAAATCACTGCCAACAACGGGACGCGGGCGGGGAGCAAGCGCTTCGCAGAAAAGTCGTCCCCCGGCGCAGGAACTTCGAACAAGAAGGCGTCCTCCTCCGCCTCGGCTGTCAGCAAAGTGGGCTCCTCCTCCTCGTACCTTGGGTACGGGGTGGAAGCGTATATCGTGAACCAATGCGTACCTGCCAGCGGAAGCACTGCCGACGTGGGCAGCGGTTTCTTTTCCATTTCGGAAGTGGTCTCCGCCGCAGATGCCGCGGACGCTGCGGCCAAGGCGGCGGCGGCCGGAAAGTCGGAGCGGAAGACGCGCTTCTTCGAGTGTGAAATGTGCACCGCCATCTTCTACGATCGGGCCCAGCTGCTGGACCACGTGCACATCCACATCTAGTAAGCAGCGCTTCACCCTGTGCTTCACAGCTTCCACATCGCCCCAGGGAAGCAGCCTTGTATTTTTGAAATCTATAATCCTAATAGTTATGGTTACCTCATCGGTATCGAGCATCGAAAAAGCCGTTGAAATTTTGCGTTACATTTAAACATTGAGAGAAATATACAACTAATGTAGACTTAGTGGATAAGCTTTTAAGTTTGTACCTCAGCTTTTGTTTTGAAGAATGGTATGCTGGAATAAATACATCATTAAATTATTTTGTAAACTGCCTTCAAGTGTAAATGGAGATACTAATACGGGGATTTTGTAAAGATAAGACCCTATTACCTTTTCCAGGTAATACTTCAATAGTACACATAGGGTGTATAGTATGACTTAATATTTGATTGATGATCAAACTTGTTATTTGTCTGGCAAGCAAATAAATGCAAAAAACTGAGAATATAGAAGTGAAATGCTAACACGTTCTAAACAAGAGTATGACAGGTGCGATAACAGGGGGAAGATTTTAAAATATTTGATCTGGATCTCTATGTGTGTAATTTATTTCACAAATCCATGTCTCACTGCTTCCCTAAATAGATCTCTTAGAAATGGGACAACATTGCAGAAATAGAGATGGAATCGAGGTGTTCGAATGAGTGATACCCATTTCAGATTTGGAAAGCATTAGACGCTGTGGGGTCTTTATTGTCCACTTAACGTTCCTTTGTATTCTAATAATGGAATATGTTTTCGTCGTCGGAGCCTTCAGTCCACTGTCAATTGTCGACCTGAGGAGATGAAATCGCTGTGCCTTGTGGGTCTGGTGTTTCTGAGCATTATCGGCTTTGGGGCTGCCGATGACTTTGATCCCGTGCCTGGAGGAGTTTATCAGTTGGAGGAAGACAGCAAGGAGGATGCACGAGGTCTTTTGGATACTTCCCTCACCAAGCTGGCCACCAAAGATGGGCCAAGCTACAAGTCAGATATTTTATACAGTCGTCGAATGGAAAGTAATGTCTAGTTTTCTATCAGGACCGTCGCCCTAACTAAGGTAACCCGCCACCTCGAGGCCGGTAATCTCTTCACCTACGAGGTGGAGCTGGAAAACGGGGCCGAGAATAAACAGTGCATCGTGAGGATCCTCAACCAGCCCTGGAGAGACGAAGAAGTCAGCAAAATCCAGGTCAGGTGTGGCGAGGAGGATGAGGTGGATCACAACTTTATAAGTGAGGACGTCTATTTGGCCTCCGAATATACCTATTACTGACCGCTGTGTATCTTATGAAGTTAATAAAGTGTAGAGCAGCAGTAGATCGATGAATTATTTTACTTTTCCGCTAATTCCCCAACTTGTTTCTAGATAAGGTGAACTGTTCGAGAGCTGCTTGACAGTTTGTCTAGTTCTCTTTTGTTTAAGAGTTCAGCAGTGAGCTCACTTTTCGACTCCGAGAGCGGCTCCCTCTTTGAAATTGGTTGAAAATGAGTCACCCAATGGATAGCCAGCTCCCTTGTAGTCGTCGAAAATCAGCTGGTACTAAGTGAGCTAACAAATTAGCTAGTAAACAGGCAGTTGTTTCATTTAAGCCATGTCGAACGAACCCATTCTCGGAGGTGTCTCTAAGTTGCAGGGAGAGGAGTTAAAGGAGGCCCTGGAACTGTTGGAGACATCCCTTGCGAAGCTGGAAGCCACCGATGGTCTTTTCTACAAGCAAGTTTAAGCAAAATTTCCCTCGTAATGGTTTGGTTAAGAACTTTTTGTTTTAGAGCCGTCAACGTGACCTCTGTGACGGGACAGACGGTGGCTGGATCTCTTTACACCTACGAGTTGGAACTCCAAATTGAATCGGACAAGAAACCGGCCACCGTGACGATCTGGTCCCGCATATGGCTAAAGGAGGACGGTACCAACATCAAGATCCACTCCGGAGGCCAGTTGCAGTTGGATCGAACGTGGTAAATGTTTGATAAGAATCCAGGTGTTCGATATAAGCCCCTGCCAAGCTCCCAAAGAACACAATAGTTTTAATAATTGTATAATTTGTAAACTTAATAATGTATGGCTGTTAGAAGTGTAACCGAAAATACAATAAAAAAAGATTAGGTTCATAAGGTTTTTAATTTTTAATTACCTGAAACTACCCAGTTTCAGAGGAAAACTGGTTGAACTGGAAAATAATTTTCCACTGCTCTAAAAGTAAGCCCCATTCGCTCAGTGTTGACGTCACATCAGTTGTCTCTCGGGGGTTTTATTAGGCTACAAATACACAATTCTCTGTATTTTCGTATTGTTCCATTGTGATAGTGCTGCTACTGCTACATTTAAACAAGCAAACATACGCCTATAGTACTATTTGTTTGTACTTTATCAGATGCGCCAAACAATCATAATTACAACAAATGAAATGATTTTGAAAAATAAAGTATATACATAAGGAACATACGTAGTCTGCTGGTGGGTTTAATTTGTAAGAGTACCAAAAATTGTCGCTATCATTCCAGACATGAGTATTTGAAAAAATAGTCTGAAATATTTTGTTCTTTTGTAAGCTTTTTCTGTAGGATATGGTAAGTGGAAATTTCTGCCCGAACATTAAAAAGCACGCAACGTTTTATCACAAGCGTTTAATATAATTCTAAATAGTTTTTTCAAAATATCCGCTGGATAAAAACACCCAGGATTTCCGCCGATGGATTACAAATTGTACACCAAATGGTAGAATGAATTGAATGAATTGATTAAATTAAAACATAAACTTGTCGCATTCAAAATTAGAATATAAAAGCAAGAGAGGAAATCTAATTCAGGTCGGAGAGACTAGATCTCGTTAAGACAGGTAGACAGACTTAAAACAGGCTTCTATCGACATAGGATGCTAAGTAATCCTGATCCAGCATATGGAATACTTTACCATATATAGGGTCGGAGGTGTCTGCTCCACAGCGTATAAATTATATAATAATAATATAATATACGAATGAGACGCTTCAGGTTTAGGGCAAACGCGACTCGGGCTTCTCTTTTCTCTTCGATAGGAAATCGGCACTATGGCGAGTAAACAAAGATGTTCTCAGATGATATCAGATTTCTATAAAAGGCGGCTCTCCATTCGTCGAGTATTTAGTTTGAAACATTTGTTGGTTGAACATGCACGCCCTGAAAGTGATTTTAGTTCTGGGACTGGCCCTGGCCGTTGCCGCTGATGAGGTATGTTGAGCGCACTTCCGAAAACCTGTATGTTTTGTTTAAATGATAATTTTTAGGTCCCTGTGCTCGGAGGCACTAGACCACTAGAGGGTGCTGAATTGGAGGAGGCGAAGGCGGGCCTGAACAGCTCTCTGGAGAAATTGGCTTCTGGAGACGGACCCAGTTACAAGTAGGTATTACCAGTATTTATGATAGAGACATGCTAACTTATATTCGAACATTTCAGGGTTGTGAAAGTGAAATCGGCGACTACACAGGTGGTGGCAGGCACCCTCCAAAAATTCGAGGTGGAGCTTTCCAACGGATCAGACAATAAGGATTGCATCGTCAGCATTTGGTCCCAGCCCTGGGAGAAGGAGAATGGTACCCAGCTTACGGTTGAATGCAAAAACGAAGGCAAAATTGAGAAAACTTGGTAGAGAAGATAGGTATCTCCGCCACACGACGACTCGAACTCTTTTGAAGTTAATTTAAAATGTTTGTTTTCCATAGAGCATTGCTTGAACGGGTATCGAGTATGATTTATGATTTATGATTTTCATAATAAACTTTTTAAATTCCTCGAATACTTTTGAGTGTTATTAATCTGGAACTAAGTAGGAATTTGGCAAACTGCAGTTGTTTTAAGCCTTGTCGAACAACAGACTGTCGGGAGTATGTATTACTTGTAATCGGACCACCTGGAGACGCCCAGCAGCAGTTTGAAACCTCCCTAGCGAGCAACAAACATCTCAAAATCATATTACAATCGATTCAAATAAGTCTACATATTTTGTATTTAATGGAATAGATTTAAACATGTATTTCCACTTTATATTGGGCATGAATTGGCTAAGGGAACTGTGCCATTGACCGTTGAGTTTTGTATTAAATCTATGGAAAAAACCTCTTTGAGTTTAGTGTGCTAATGAGAAATTCCGGTTCTGAAATCATCTCTAGAAATCTGCTCGTTGAATACAAACTATGAATTATTAACTATTCGGTGCGTAACTATTCGAAAATAAAATTAGCAAATATTAGGGCGAGTACGAATCTGGCTTTTTTTTTTCTCTTCGAAAGCCAACCTGCACTATGGGATTCCCCACGAGTAAACAAAGATGTTCTCTGATGATATAAGATATCTATAAAAGACGGCTCTCCCTTCGTCGTTTATTCAGTTTAAACCATTTGCTGGTTAAAAATGCACGCCCTGGCAGTGTTTTTAGTTGTGGGAGTAGTCCTGGCCGTAGCCGCTAATGACGTATGCTGAGAGTTCCTCTAAAAACCTATATGTGTTATTTGCATACATATGTACCTATATAATTCTTTGTAGGCCTCTTTGGATGGAGGCGTTAGAACTCTAGAGGGTGCTGAATTGGAGAAGGCGAAGGACACTCTCCGCAGTTCATTGGAGAAATTGGCTTCAGGGGACGGACCCAGTTACCAGTAAGTATTACATGTGTTTAAGATTGGTATGTACAAACTCATTTATATTTCAACATTTCAGGGTTGTGAACGTTAAATCGGCGACTTCACAGGTGGTATCCGGATCCCTCGAAAAATTCGAGGTGGAGCTTTCAAACGGATCAGACAATAAGGATTGCATCGTCAGCATTTGGTCCCAGCCCTGGGAGAAGGAGAATGGTACCCAGCTTACGATTGAATGCGAAAACGAAGGAAAAATTGAGAAAACTTGGTAGAAAAGTCGTCACACGTTGACAAAATCATTATTTAAATAAACAAGAGCTTAGACTCGAAAGCTTGTGAAAATTACTGAGAAATGTTTATTCTCCATACCCCTTCCATATTGTTTAAACTGTTTTTCTGATTTCCGTAATGATTTGGATAAAAAAAAATGGCTATACCTTGTCAAATGCGTTATAGTGCGTAATGCGTTTATACAGTCATTAGACTCTATGTAGCATTTCTGGTCATATGAGACGTATGAATGTGTCCTATTAGAAATCTCATTAAAAAGTTAATACTGAAAGGGATAGAAAAAATATTTTTGGCGACTTCGAGAAATAAACACAGAAAAGTGCTTTACAGCCAAAACTGCCAATCCAATACACCTAGCTAAGGGTTTCAAGTTCGGCATTTGAACTAGCCTTTGGAAAACTGGAGAAGCATCGTGAGTTCAAATGAGAAATATATATAGCTCTATAATTACCCAAGACCACAACAAAAAACCTCCTCGCATAGATTCCAAGTAGGTCCAGAACATCACCCAAAGATCCACCTAAGAAAACAAAATCTTCCCTTGAAAAATTTTTGGGTAAATAAAATATAAGTATGTATGTACATATATGGTGATGATATGGTGTCTAATTCAATAGATAGTAACTTTAAATCAATTTCTTCTTTTAGATGTATGTACTATATATTAAAGTATTAGTTTGAAGCTATAACTTTTTGACTTTTAGTTTGAAACTAAACTAGAAACAGGTATATAAGAGACCTGGGTGAGCAGGCAAATAATTTCCCGCAGCTATATAATGTTAAACGAGCGAATCAGTCGCTCAGAGCTGAAGTCACATAAGCTGTCTCTCGGGGCTATGAACATTCAATACGATTTGTTCTCTGGTCGTATTCGTTCGTATTGTTCCATTCTGATAGTGCTGCTACTGATATATGTAAACAGACATACGCCTATAGTACTATTTGCTTGTACTTTATCAGATGCACCAAACAATCGTAATTACACCAGATGAAACGATTTTGAAGTATGAAGTACAAACTTAAATATGTATGACTGGTATGTTAAGATTTTGAGAACACCCAAAACCTTCACTATCGTGCCAGATATGAGTGTTTGCAAAAATAGCGTGGAATATTTTTTTTTGATAGCCTTCTTTAATGTTTTGGTCCGGGATATCGCAAGCTAAAAGCAGCCAAAATTGTTATCACAAGCCTTGAAAATAATTCAAAATATTGTTTTCGAAATATCCGCTGGATAAATAACATAAGACGAAGCGTTTCCGCTGATTGAACTGAGAGTTAGACACCGAAAAAAAAAACATAAATTAAACAATTAAATATAGCTTTATATTGTGTATAATTTTCCTTAGGTATCTATGTCACAGGTCATTGTCTTCTTTGTCTTACCAATATTGTAAGCTAAGGTTCTTTAATCAACTCTTGACCTGGGCAAACAGCTTGGAATAAAAGCTCGTTAAGTAAAAAATACAATTTAATTAACTATTCGAAAATAAAAATAGCGATGCATCAGGTTTAGTGCAAACACGACTCCGGCTTCTCTTTTTTTTCTCCGATAGCCAACCGGCACTATGAGGTTGCTCGCGAGTAAACAAAGAGGTTCTCAGATGATATAAGATTTCTATAAAAGGCGGGTCTTTGTTCCTCGTGTATACAGTTCAAAACAGTTGCTGGTTGAAAATGCACGCATTGAAAGTTATTTTGGTTCTGGGACTGGCCCTGGCCGTTGCTTATGGAGTAAGTGGACCGACCTTCCGAAGTCCTGGATGTTGTATTAACGTATATGATCACTTATAGGGAATTCCCGGAGGCGTTAATCCGCTAGAGGGTGAACGTTTGGAGGAGGCGAAGGAGACTCTCCGCAGCTCACTGGCGAAATTGGCTTCAGGGGACGGACCAAGTTACCAGTAAGTAACAAAAGTATTTATAATCGGTACATGCTAATTCATATTCGAAAATTTCAGGGTTGTGAAAGTGAAATCGGCGACTACCCAAGTGGTGGCAGGCACCCTCCAAAAATTCGAGGTGGAGCTTTCCAACGGATCAGACAATAAGGATTGCATCGTCAGCATTTGGTCCCAGCCCTGGCTGAAGGAGAATGGAACCCAGCTTACTATTGAATGCGAAAACGAAGGCAAAATTGAGAAAATTTGGTAGAAGTGGTCGACTTTCGATCGCAACACGTCGACTAAATCATTATATAAACAAGAGCTTAGACTCGACAACTTGTGCAAGTTAATGTGTGTGGAGCGATTATTCTCCCACTCTCATTTGGTTAAACGGGTTACCGAGTAACGTAATGATTTGACTAATAAACCTCTTTTATTTCTCGTCATATAAGTTCGAGTCAAATTAGTTTTAAAAAACTTATTTTTCAGCTTAAGTTAACCCACGTAAAGGTAATCAGCCCCTTCCTGACCTTTTAGTACCTCCTTCCGGTTTTGTTACTCTGCTAGCCTGGTACTCATTCTTATCAAGGAGAAATATCTGGTGTTTTTTGCAATTTATTCTCAATTATTTCGAATTGGACTCACAATGTAAATGTTACATTTAGCCGACCCTGTTGCTGTTGTTCCTGCGACTGTTCCTGTTCCTCCTCCTGCGGTTGGCGATTCTCTGGCGGCGACGTTGGGCCCTCTGGCGACGGCGGCGAGCTGCTCTGCGGTTGTTTCTGCGGGTGTTGCCAGTGGTGGGAGAGGCGTCAGGGGATCCGGATGTAGAGCTTGCATCAGTGGGAGGGTTGCTGACTGCAGTTGGGGAGGGGCTGGAGTCGGTGGGGGTGGTGGAGGTATCAGTTGGGGTGGTGCTGCCGTCAGTAGGGGTGGTCGAGCCATCAGTGGGGGTGGTAGAGCTGTCGGTGGGAGTAGTGGAGCCGTCCGTGGGGGTGGTCGAGCCGTCGGTTGGGGTAGTAGAGCCATCAGTGGGCGTGGTGCTTCCGTCGGTGGGAGTGGTGCTGCCATCCGTGGGATCGTCCGCTCCAGCCACGAAGCTGGAGAAGCAGAGGACCGACAAGAGAAGACCTAGAAGTAGAGCAGTGGGCTTCATAGCTATAACGATGATGCTACGTTGATGATCTCTGGATGGAGGCCTCTCGCTTTTATAGCACCATCATGGTTCATGGTTCTATTGTCGTGCTAGCATCTAGACTCTGGCTCCACAGCTGAGCCAACAAATCAATTGAAAGAAAATTTGGTATTGGCGAAATGCGGCAGCTGTCAAAACAGCCATAAGTCGCACAAAAAGCTCTATTGACGCCGTTTTGTTCTCCGTCTCCTTTCAATACTCTAGTTTGCCAAATATAAGCCGCATCTTTTGCGTTTGAAAGCGATAGCTCGAAGACGACCCGAGATCTGGGCCAACCTGCTGTGCCACACGACGCTAAGCGGTGCGTTACTTGGGTAGCTGGAGCAGCCTCATTTTGTTGCCTGAATTTAGGCGGCTTTGAATATTTAAAGTAATCTTGCCTTCTTTCCCCTTTAATATTAATATCTAATATTATTTAAAAGAAGTATTGAAGTATTGAAGCGAAGCATTCTTCCAGTTCAAAGTAGCCGACCAAGTTCCGTAGATCGGCCAAGGTATGGTTCCTAACGCGTGGCCAAGCATCGGCATTTTATGACGACCGATGGCTGGCCTTTCATTGAGCACCGTACATTTTGCGATCGGTGACCAATTAAGTCCTGGAATATTAGTGGTCCTATCATTATTTCCATAAATATAATAATTATAGGAGATATTTGGCCAGAAGAAGCAGAAACAAAGCTTTTATGTCGGAACTGTATTGATATTTTAAATTCTTTAAATTAAAAACTGATACGTATATCATATCATATCATAATCATAAATATTTATGAGAAATATGTGCTTAACTTTTAATTGCCTCTTTTGTCACTTTTATTTATTTTTCATAAACATTCCAGCCTGTTTCTTCCTTAGTATTTTGCAAACTTTGAATTATCCATTTTTCCCAATTCATCTTTGGAATATTTTACGACAAATAACTAAAGCAAATATGGCAAAATCGGTTTTGCCATCGAAAGAACACCTGCGCAAATTCGCGAAAAAAATCTTGAGGTAAGCGGGCCACTATAAAAACCTTCACCTCGCTAAATGTCATCCAGAAAGTGACAAATCAAAGCAAGCGCATAATGAGAGCAGCGGTCTTTATTGGAGGAGCCTTCATCCTGACAGCCTGTCTCCTGAGGAGCAGCGAAGCTGTGACATGCACCGCCGAACCAGCCACCACCGGCTGCATCGACTGCACCGCCAACCCCACCAATGCGGAGTGCGTGGCCGAGGCCGCAGCCACCTCATCTACAACCTCGACCACCACTACGGCGGCTTCCACTACCGCTGCCACCACGGCTGCTCCATCCTCCTCCGGCGGTGCGACCGGCCCGCGCCGTAAGATTGTGACTATCAGAAACCTGGGATACTATAACGTCCGGCGTGTTCGGGTGTACCGCAACGGAAGGGGTACCACCAACAACCGAAGGGGCAGGGCCAATACCAATGCCAGAAATCGCAGGCGCAATGGCAACAACGTCCGCGTGATAATCGGGTGAAGTCTTTTATGACCAATAAAGAGTCTATATGAAATAAATTCTAATTTCGCTAGTCATTGGCAACTTGTTCACCTTTAAATCCACTGGCACTTATGTCTTAAACTGAGGTTCTATTAAAGTATCTTGCTTTATTTTTGATATTTTTGAAAGTATTCCACCAAAGGCTGTAAAGTAAGGTTCCTCGAGGAAACGGTAGATTCTAGAGAGTTTAGCTATAGGGTTCACTTAGCCTACAACCACGCGAACATTTCCGCCGCGTCTTCGATTCAACTGGCTGTTCCTCCTGCTCCTCCCGCTGCGGTTTTGGTTGGTGTTCCTGCCCCTTCTGCCGTTGCGGGTGGTGGTAGCGGTAGAGCCGCTGCCAGCGTTCCTGTTAACGCGGATGCGACGCGTGGCGGTGTACTGCAGGTTGCTGACTCGCACCGTCTTCCGCCCACCTGCCCCCGAAGAGATGGGGGAGCTGGTAGTGGTCGAGGTGGTGGTGGTGGGCGCCACTGTGGTGCTGGTCGACGTCGAGGTCGAGGACGAGGTGGCCGCCGCCTCGGCCACGCACTCCGCATTAGTGGGGTTGGCGGTGCAGTCGATACAGCCGGTGGTGTTTGGTTCGGCGGTGCATGTCACAGCTTCGCTGCTCCTCAGGAGACAGGCTGTCAGGATTAAGAGTCCGAAGAAGATAGCTCTCATGGTGCTTGCAAAATTGCTTGGATGTGTTGATTGATTGATGCTCCAATTGGGATTTGGAAAGCTTTTTATACCGATCGATTGTCATCTCTAAAACTTGTTGCCCAATTTACGCAGCTGGTTTAATGTTCGATTGTTTGCTAAAAATTAGTTTTAAATTCTAATTCAGGGCCGCTCCTTTAATGATAAGTGTATACTTAACTTTGAGATATTCCTATAATCAATACAATATTGAAGAAACGCCTTGAAAATGTTAGCTCTCTGCGAATCAGCTTTGAAAGTTGGTTCGCTTTAATTGACTTTCGGGGTACACACTATGACATGACTTGATAATCAAAAAGCTAATCTTTATAAATTCGAGGGAACTTTTATTAATTTCATATAAGTCCACATGGCTTCATCAAAAAGCATAGCTTAGCCGGATCGTCGGTTCTGCCTTCTACGATTTTGCCTTCGGCGGGCTTGCCTGCGCCTCTGTATTCTTCTCCTGGCAGCCCTCCTCCTGGCGCGCCTTCTCTGGTTCACCCTTCTCTGGGCGGGGGAGATTCCTGTCGGAGAGGCACTGATGGCTGGGGTGGCGGCCGGCGAGTTGGCATTAGGTGTTGCAGTTGTGGAGCTTGGAGAAGTTGAGGGTCCTGGGGCCGAGGTCGATGACGAGGAATCTGTACTGGGGGCGGGCGTGCCAGTCTGGGTGGGTGGTGGCGTGGCTGTCGGTGTGGGAGTCGGTGTGGGAGTCGGTGAAGGGTTGGCGGCTGCCGCCTCATCTACGCACTCCTGGTTGGTTGCATCAGTCGTGCAGTCGATGCAGCCTGTCACGTTGGGATCCGCAGTGCAGGTGACAGCTTCGCCGGTCCGCAAGCAGGTCGCAAGGAAGAGAGTTCCCAAAAATACGATGGTTGTTACCTTCATTCTCAGATTGATGATACTCCCGGGATCGGCCAGCCTTATATAGGGCCTCGCCCCATTTAGAAGTTTGTCCAACTGAAACTCTATTTTTTTCGGCACTTGCCAATAAAAGTAAAGATGGCTTCCAGCGATTTGTTTAAAATCCAAACAATTCGATACATGGGACTTGGCAAATAGATACTATTGAAAAGTCAAACCAGCTGTCCCAACAGAATTTTGGTTTGTTTGAAGACCCATCTGCCTGCAAATGGAAGTTCAATTCATAAATATATTACCAAAGAGGGTCACACCATCTTATACCTCTATACATCGCTGCCACGGGTCCTTCATGTTGCCTAGTTTTGAGGACGAGGTCTACTGCTGACCGGAAGTCGGTCAGTTCCATCAATGCTAAGACCGTAATGCAAATGGAAGTTCAATTAATAAATATATTACCGAAGAGGGTCATACCATCTTATACCTCTATAGATCGCTGCCACGGGTCCTTCATGTTGCCTAGTTTTGAGGACGAGGTCTACTGCTGACCGGAAGTCGGTCAGTTCCATCAATGCTAAGACCGTAATGAAGTTTCCAGATGATTTTTCTGAAATAAACAAACTCTTTTAAGCGCATTTCTCCAATTTTAAATTATTCACATAAATGAATACAATGTATTAAAAATGTCATATCCATTTCGTCAAATAAATTTGAGCTTTTTTTAGGGAGAGTAATAATCTGGTGCCATTGCGAGGTGACGTTTCCGCTAATATAGTTTTGATTTATCATCACGTTACATCTCACCTCGCACAGTGCAACTAAATCAATTGGTAATTAATAAAAATATATATTCATCATGAACTACTTCTTAAATTTCTTTCTTATTTTCCATCATTTTTAATATTGTAAATAATGTAAATAATAAGGAATAATTAATAATCAATAAGAATTTAATGGCTGAGAGTTTTCCATTTTTATATGGGTGCATGGAGGTTCTCCCACGGTTCTCAAAGCAAAGTGAGCACAATGGGTGGGAATACTTTATATTCATATTCGCGGCTTTTTTTCGATCCGCTGACCAGCTCTGGCTTTGGCTGAGTTCAGTCGTTGCTGATCATCGAGTGGTTAGGTCATGGACTGTTCGTACTATTTTCTACTGGGCCTGGCTCTTATTTCAACAGGTCAAGTGGTAAGTGGTAATCGACTACAGTTTAATGGATCAAATAATAATCTCCAAACTTCTCCAGATTGCTATCTGCATTCCTCCTAATCACTGCATAGAGGATGTGAGTATAAAAGTCATATCTACAAAGTCATATTTAATATGTAATACATACAAGTAGATGGAGGAAGCAGATGCCAAGGAACGTTTCGACTACGTCCTGGGCAAGTACGAGGAGCTGGACATGAAGATTCCGGGTGAGCCTGTTGGGTAAGTTCACCGTTTCTCTGCTCGACTCTCTAATGGCTATTCGGTTTCCCGCCGGGCAGCTTGCACGGCAAGGTAGTCACGCATGGGGAGGCGGAGGAGCAGCACCTGGTGTTCCAGTACATGGACAACACCCCGCATGACATCATCCAGACGTGCGCGTTCGTGGTCGTCAGTGCTCCGGGCGAGTGCGAATCGATCCGCACCTACTGCTCCGGCTTTCTGCGGCGCCAGCCCCGTCCCCTTCTAGAGCGGAAGCCTCTCGAGGTCTGCGAGGATAAGACCCAGCTGGCAACGGAGCCCCCGGAACCGGAGACGGCTCCCGATGCGGATTCGGAGGATGGAACGGAGGCTGATCCTCAGCAGGAGCAAGAGGAGGGAGCAGAAACCACCACAGGGGCTCAGGATGCATCCAACTCCAAGCTAAGATCGATGTCTCGCAATAATATTTGAACTTAACCCTCTGAATGACCGGTAAAATCATTGTAAAGATTTTTAGAAGCAAATATTTTCATTAAAAGTATTAATATGACACCTAACTAGGCCTTTGTGATTTCAGCCTGAAAGTTTGCTTCCTTAAGTTGTGTTCCAACATTTCTCCTTGGCTGTTCAATGCCACGGCTGGCTCGCGAGATTGAGTTAGGAAGCTCAGGCAGCAACAACTGTGTGGTGTCAGCTCTGCGACGGCCAGTCCACTAGGCCAGGCCCAAAGGGCGCCTGCGCTGTGCCCGCAGTGCACCGTGGGTCCCAATACCCCATTAATGGGTGATTATTATGTTAAATCCTCCACAAAACATAGAAAATTCTATATATCAATATCTGATTTTGGTAGATTTTATAGTGAAGGAAGAGTCTTTAATGAATATTGGGACTGACTTTTGAGCCTTATGGTTTAATAAGTATTGGGGCACTGTTCGCGGCAAAAGTGCGTGAGAGAACCTTTCCCCAAGTGCGAGAGAGCTGCGCCGAGCGAGGCGGGGGCGAGAGCCCCTCCACGCCAAATAGCAAGTAAACAAAGCCCAGCGCCGAGTGTCAGCTGCTGCTGCCGGCGTCGCTGCCGGCGCTGGGGCCTGCGCTGGCGGAGCGGAAGGCCGACATTCTGTGCGGCAGGTTAGTTGTTGTCGGGCGCCAAAGCGAACTGGAGCAGCGAACGCAGAACGCTGACGCGAGAAGCTCCCAGCTGCCAGCACCAGCCAGCTACCAGCACGCTGCAGAAGCGCAACGAAATTGGGAACTGAAGCCGAGTGAGAGCGCGGAGAAAGGGGTCTCGGAGAGACAGAAGCAGAAACAGTAGAGCTGAAGAGCGCGAGAGCCGAGACTCTGAGCCACGAGTCCAGTAGTATTTGGCTGCGGCCCGCACAGAATTATCTGCTCAGTGCCAAGTTGTCGCGCTGCGAGTAACGTTACGTATACGCACCGTCCGCCGTCCACCGCCCGAACGCTACCGCCGCCGCTGCCCCCCGCGCACCTTGCCACGCCCCCTGTGCAGTAGCTTCTTCTTCGTCCTGGGATTGGAAAGAGTGCGCGTTTTGGGGCGACAGGACTGCCGCCGGTTGTCGCAGGACAGAAAGGATAACAGCGGCCAGTGAAGGAGCGACAAGAGCGCGGAATTGGGTTCCACTTTTGCATAATGCCGATGCGAAATCGAGGAATATACGAGCGTACAAGTGTAGTGGCTGGCGTTTAACTGGCGCGTAAATACTATTTATTTGCAAAGCAAAGAAGCCCCTCGGAAATCCACCCCCGGACTCGCGCCCCTCCGCCCCGCGAGAGCAAGCGCCAGCGCGTGTTATCAGCTAGCAAAAACGCAAACGAATCGCGACAAAAACACAGAACCCGCAAAACACGAAAAATAAATAAAACCAGACCAGAAGAAAATGCGAATGTGGATGCATTTGAGCGCGAGAGTGTGCTAAGGTGAGTGTGTCACTTGGGGGGGTGTGAGTGCCCCGCCATCGTGTGTGCCCCAGCCCAGCTTAGTGCCGAGTAAACAAACCAACCAAAGCCAAACAGCGACCCAAACACAAACACCAGCACAAAGGCCACCAACACACTCTGCCGCGCACACCACACACTCAGAGCCAGTTATTAGCGTTCCCCAAATCCCCCAGAATGTGCGAATTATAAAATATGTTACCCTTGAATGTCACAAGTATCATCGGTCGGTCGGGGTGGTAGACCGTAGAACGTTACTTTTTAGCGACTTTTGTGCCCGATGCTTGTGGATTGGAAGGGTATATTGGGAATGTGACTTTGCTTGTAACAGCATTACATGCTAGCATTACACTTCTAATCACTTGGAATTTAAAAAGAAAAAAGTCATTAAAATTCTGGGAATATTAATATTTGGAATTCCTAACACCCATATACCTGACACCACTCTTTCCTAATTCCCTTCCGATCGGCCCCAGGGGGGTCGCTGCCAGGAGCCCAAGGCATCGCCTCAAAAACTTTAGTCTGACGTGCGACGACGACCCAACGAAAATTATTCGAGAGCGTTCCCAGCGCGTTTTCCCGCTTTTCACGCGCGCAATTTTCCCGCGGCCGCCCTCTTGGAGACCCGCCAAAGTGTCTGTGAAATCCATTAAGTTTTGTTTTGCTTCTTTTTATGAACAACATTGACTTCGTCAGCCCGCAACCCTCGACCCACTAAGGCCCACTCCCCGTAATCTCCCGCACTTTCCAAGCGTCAAACGTCTGGGCAAGTATCTTATTTATTTTCGAGTCCCTCACTTTGCTCCTTGGCAGCCTCTTCCGGTTGAATTGGAGGAGGATTGCTTAAAAATGTCAAATTTATTGACTCACTTTTTGTAGTCGCTGTACTCCTCTTTGTGTTATCCGGGCAGGAACGTATTGTAATCCTGACCGTCTGAAGAAGGAGGACTATACATAAGGGTTTTGACCATATTCGAAAGCTACAGTTTGGTTAATTATCACGTCATCTTAGAGGAAATTTAATAAGAATAATCAAGCACTATATATTGCATAACCCCAAAACAATCACAATTCTAATTGCACCCGATCCAACGTGGCAGGTTGTCTTTAGGGGAAGGGTTATGTTTTCCGCGACTGGGGTTAAGGTCGGGCAGATTTAGAGTGCATAGACTCCCGATTGCCCTCGTCCTTGTGCCTTTTCACATTCTCGCGATTAGCGATTACCCTTTGTATGCAATTGGGCTCGTCGTCTATTTGCTCTGGTCCTTTTGTCCTTTCCGCGCGGCACGTGCCTTGCCAGCTCCATCTGGCGCTGGCTGACATTCATTGGCTTTTGTCCAGATATTTGTTTTTGCCGCTGCTCCTTCGTCTTCTTCCTCCTCCGGGTCTGCGGCTGGTCCATAAAATGCTGTCTTTGAGGCAGTTTCGCGCCGGCGTCTGCGAAGGCCTTCTCTGTCTTCTACCAGAAATCATCGCAGCCTCTGGCCTACTTTCTAAAGGATTCGCAAATTCTAGGGCATTCTTTGCATATTATCTCGCTGTTTGTTATCGTACTGGCTTCTCCCCTATTCAGTCTATCATTTTTTTGCCTGTTCAAGCCGTTTTCTCATTACCACTGATGTGTTTATGAAGCTTGTTTGGGGCTTGTTACTTTACACAAACTCGCATTAGAAACTATTAATTTCTTGACTTGTTTATTGGCGGGTAGTTAGGGCTCTCTAATTGAAAGAGTTAAAAAAGAGAGTGTACATAATAGTAAAGTAAACTAACTACTGCTATGGGTAGTAGACTAATTCAAAACAAAGTGGGGATGAATAGGATTCATTCATCGCCTTCTCGAACTAAACTTTGCTCAAGTTATGAATAGTTGTTATTGCAGAAGGATCATACGGGCTCGTTTCCACTGGTATTTGTTTATAGTATTTCTTCTTGTTTGGTGGAGAAGCCTTTGCGAGGAGCAGGTTTCCTGCGGCTGTCGACAGACTTTTCCACGTTTTCAAAAGAAAAGCACCCGCCCTGAAAGCGGAACCGCCGTGAAAAAGCGTCGGGAAAACTTTATCGCTAGCCGTTTTGCGCTTATCTGCCTCAGCCACTTTGAGTCGCGTTTTTGCAAAGTTTTAGCCACATTTACGGGGATCTCGGGGGAAACGGCCCACGGATGCGCGATAAGGGGTGTGTACCCGAATCCCCCTTGTCGGCAGCACCCATGGCGAAAATTATTGTCTGAGGTTGTGTCGCTGGCCTGCCATCGCATAAATTCGGCTGTCCCACATGTGTCCTCGCTCTACCCTAGTTTTTTCTTGGTTTCCCATATCCCATGTGCTGACCGCGTATCCTGTGACCGCTCTTTTTGCACTTTCTGCCATTGTTTTTCTTCGTCCTTTGTTTGGAGGTCCCTTTCATTTCTTCCGTTTCGTGGCGACTATTTTTAGCTCAGCACTTTTATTTTGGTTGGCACTTTTTCCTTGAGCATTGTTCCTGTGGTCTAGCGAAAAAGTCTAGCGGTCGGGCCAGGCCGAATTGTTTACAAATACAAATTCCCAATTAAAAGCTTCTGGCTTTGCTGGCTCGCGTGGCCGCTGCCATATCGATTATATAATAATAAACTGGCAGAGCCACGTGGCGCCGGGACTCGCCACGTAATTACACCTTCATAGGGACAGAAGTCGTTACAGACCGCCGCCTGACAAGTTCGAATCATTTTAATAACAGATTACGCATACGCCGCGTGTGACACTCGTCAGCCAGCGCTCCTAGAGGTTGGGCCAACCCACAGACAAGTCTAGGAAAATGTTTCTTGTTAAAGCCTTTCTCTCAAACATCTTTAGAGGGTGAATAGAAGACCACTTTACAATCTTTTAAAATTGCTCGACAAATAACAGGTTTAATTTGGCTAAGAGCTCACCAAATCTTAGAAGCTTCACACACACACTCCGAGACTCAATTACTTTGCCCGACTTTTGAGGACCCGTTTAGCCGCCGAACAGGACTCGCCCACACAGGGCCCTTTTGGGAACCCGGTTAGCAGCTCCCGGGACCTAGCCGGTGACCAAGCAGCGACGACATAATTAAATTATTCCGCAACAATTGTCGCTGGAACAAGAGTCGCTCATTGAGTTAATTTGCGACAAGTCGAGGTGGCGGTGCTGAAGTTTTCACTCCTCTGGCTTTGGCCTTTAACTGTCCTCCGACAGCTGCCATTTGGTGGTTTGGTGGCGGCGACTGGAGTTTTCGCGGAAAAGGATTAATTAGGATTAAAAGTGTGTCGAGTGGGCGGACAAAGTCCCCGGCAAAGAAAGAAACAAACTGCTGTGGTTGGCGTAATCGCCAGGCACAAGTAAGTCAACCAGTTGGCCAACATCTCTCACTGGTGCAGTGCGCGTTTTTAATTAACATAATTCGATATAATTCGAATCGAGAACGAGCCAGCTCGCTGCCGGTTTTGAATTTAAATAAATTCAACATAAATTTTATCACTGAGGCTCAGTATCTGTTTTTGACTTTCGGCTTATTGCGAAGCATTTTTGAATTGAGGCACAATTTCAAAGATGGGTTGGAGTCGGGCTCTCCTCCAGGAGAATTAATTGGCCTGCGAATCAGTTTTGGAAACCGAGTTCGAGCTAACCGCCCCACATGTCAAAGGGAAATTGATTTCAATTGTGATGCGCCGGACCACAACGCCAGTATTTTCTGTTAATAAATAAATAAGTTAAGCTGTCAGATTCGCTGGCAGCTGCCCTTTCCCAGGCATCGTATCGATTCTGTCGATGTTTTCCCGAACGCGTCACTAATCTAATGAAATCGCTTTCGTTTTGCTGGCATTAAAGTTTTAAAGGCCGTCCGCCTGGCCGGACAAACCCTTTTTCGCCCTGCCGCCCGACCTTTTCCCCGAACCGCCGGAGGATACTATAAACTGCCAGTGATATTAGTTAATGCCTTTCCCTGCGGTCGTCCATGCGGAATTGTTATTATTTAAATGGGCTATTCATTCTAGGTCCGTTTCAGGGCCGACTTGCAGGGTATCTCTGGGGCTATTGGTGCTTGGCCTTCGCCGTCAGCCGATTTTAACAATCTTTGGAAATGAGCTTCCAATCTCGTCCTACTAGCATGCATGGCTCACTCAAGGACGCAGGAGCCACCCGTGTAATGGGAGTAATGAGAGCATTTTGGTCGGAAGCGCAGAGCCATTTGTTTGGACAACAAACTGGGCGGAAAAACTTTTTCCCAGAATGCAGGGGACCCAAACACACAAACAAGCTGGCAAGCAGCGAAGGGTGGGGATTTTGAACTAGAAATGCTGAAAATTGTGAAATGTAAGCAAATTGCGGGGCCCTGGGATGGGGAGATAATGTCCATATGGGAGGGGCGCCACACGCAGGAATACATTTGCGAAAGCGAGCTCACACATTCTCAGAAACGGAGGCACGAACATTTTCCGGCTTTTTGGCCGCACTTTTTTGCGGTGGCGCAACAGTGAGCGGCATAAGTACACGCCTTCCAAGTAAATGCACACGAATGTATGAATATTTCATTCGGCAAATGTAGCTAAATACATAAGCCTGCCGCAGGACATGTCTCTCATCTTCATTTCGCCATCAAATCCGCAAAGGACATGTGTAAAGTGTCCGTGTGTGGCACAGTATGCGTGGGAGCTGACGAGTGCCTCTCTGTGGGTCTGTCAGTGGCGGTCTTGCAATTGAAGACGAGTATCCTTTGCGTTATTTCTGAGGGCTGCCATAAACGATCCTTGCTATTTATGCTAAAAATCTATGCCACATTAGTTCGTTAGCTCTGGCAGTCGTCGCTCCACGAGGGTCGTGTGCAGATGCTCGGGCTGCTGCCTCCTTGTTGCGCTTTTCCGCCTTTGTTTGGGCCTGGTGCTTGGCTTTATGTGCCTTTTTGTTCTTCAGTGAAGAGGGCTTGAGCCTGCCAGCGAGTGAACAGGAAGCTCGGCAGACAACCTGCTGGAGACTGTCGGCTGA